TTTAATGTCTTAAGTTTAACCACTCGGCCGAAACTTTCAGATGTGCAGCAATATCCAGAGATTGTCTAATAAAAGAATAGAAGATAGGAGAAAACTTCAATGTGGTGAGTTCTCCACCATCTAATGATTTGAAAGCCTATCCACTTCTTTCTGAATGAACATTACAAAGATATTATTCTGAATGCTTTTTGATAAATCACTATTGGCTTTAGGTAATAACATAAACAAAAAAAGAACCCTTACAATTATTAAGAATATAAAAGAAATATTTATATCAAACTTAGTTAAATGAAGTATTGTTTACATATATAGTTAGTTCAGTTCAATATAAAAAGTTTACAGAGCAAGAAAACATTCTTACCAAAAATACATACAGCTAAGAAAATAGACCCTGATAACAAAAAATTACAATTTTATTTGGAAGGACTCTGTATATAGATGCAATGGTGTAGGTGTTTTAATAAAACATGGGTTGAAATATTCTGTATTAAAGACTAACTTTCATGAAAATATCCTAAGCGTAACTGTAAGTATTGAGACAAAGTCAGAGAATATCAGTATACTTTGTGTATATTGTCTATTTAAAAGTGGCAGATTTAATACTTAACTTAGGCATATTTTTTTTAATAATATTCCCAAACCATGTTTATTCATGGACGGCTTTAATAAACATCATATCACTTTAACCTAATTGATGAATTAGGTTTTTGCATATGAACTGATGGTAGGTACTCTAACAACATGTCCATATATCCCAACAGTTAGTTATTGCTCATTTGTGTAATTATTGACAGATTCAGGATGAACCTTTAGGCAGCTACCACTATCCAGTTTCCCTCTGTGTAAATATTCAACCATGTGTGTATGTATGACATAGGTCCTGTGGAAGTAAGATTTGTTTGTAGTAAAGCTAACTGGTCTGAATTTTCTGCTCTATTTGAAAATTTCTTATCCTTTTCACCATTGAGTCTTAACATTGCCTAAAATTGTTTAATAGTTTTATAAATACTTTCTTTGATTTAAGAGATATAAGTGGTTGGAGGAGAAAGAAAAAAAAAGCTTTTAGGAGCATTATAAGTAAATTTATAGTACCATAAATGTAAGAAGAAGATTTGACAACTAACTAATATGTCAATCATTCTGTTTCATTGAAACAGAAAAAACCTGATTATTTATGGCCTCTAAGACGGAATAGAGTTCGCCTGGTCAGCTATACATATATTACTCTTGACCAAACTAACGCGGACGAAGTCGCGGGCAAAAATTAGTTTAAAATAAAATATATGTTTATACTCTCATAGAAAATTTGTACAACAGTGACATTAATAAAGAGTTTACGTGGTTTCCCACCCGCAGTGGTATAGGCGGTATGATGAGATTGTTGATAGTACCTATAACAGAATTAGATTTTAAACAAGATTTATTGTTTTCCTTCCTATTACGTTTTGTAAAATTTACGTTTGGTTCCTTTTTATGTTGTTTCTTACAGAAAAATGTTTTATTGATGTATGCGGCTGAAGGACTTTTTAAATCCAGGTCAGAAATAAATTAAAACAAAAAAACAGCAGGGAAAACAGTTCTAGGCGGGAAGTCTACCTGAGCGGCGGGCAGCTTTAAACTTTCTTTTTCAATAAAAGTTAATTTTGTTTGCCTTTCCTATTGTATCAGTCGTCTGAAAACAACAAAAATTAACAAAACTGGGTCCCCCTAAGTAATGGGGAGAACACTGGGTAGGTACGGAAATATCAGAACGTTTTCTCCAGCCCTCGAGGTAAATGGGTACAATTTTTTTGGCATTCGTTACCGTCACACTTAACAGAGAAAATAGGTATTCTTAAATATGTTCCTAAAGACATGTCCAACGAAGAAATTTATAAAAATATTCACGTCCTACACTGAAGTTATGTAGGCAGGTACATTAAAGGATTTATGAAAAAGACGGATAACATACTGTTCCCGTTGACCACAGTTGCCGTAACCTTTGCCATTTCAACACTGCCACAAAATGCTTACATTCAATTATTCTATTACCAATATATTACAGTATATACATCCAGTCTTACACTGCTTTTAATGTCTTAAGTTTAACCACTCGGCCGAAATTTTCAGATGTGCAGCAATATCCAGAGATTGTCTAATAAAAGAATAGAAGATAGGAGAAAACTTCAATGTGGTGAGTTCTCCACCATCTAATGATTTGAAAGCCTATCCACTTCTTTCTGAATGAACATTACAAAGATATTATTCTGAATGCTTTTTGATAAATCACTATTGGCTTTAGGTAATAACATAAACAAAAAAAGAACCCTTACAATGATTAAGAATATAAAAGAAATATTTATATCAAACTTAGTTAAATGAAGTATTGTTTACATATATAGTTAGTTCAGTTCAATATAAAAAGTTTACAGAGCAAGAAAACATTCTTACCAAAAATACATACAGCTAAGAAAATAGACCCTGATAACAAAAAATTACAATTTTATTTGGAAGGACTCTGTATATAGATGCAATGGTGTAGGTGTTTTAATAAAACATGGGTTGAAATATTCTGTATTAAAGACTAACTTTCATGAAAATATCCTAAGCGTAACTGTAAGTATTGAGACAAAGTCAGAGAATATCAGTATACTTTGTGTATATTGTCTATTTAAAAGTGGCAGATTTAATACTTAACTTAGGCATATTTTTTTTAATAATATTCCCAAACCATGTTTATTCATGGACGGCTTTAATAAACATCATATCACTTTAACCTAATTGATGAATTAGGTTTTTGCATATGAACTGATGGTAGGTACTCTAACAACATGTCCATATATCCCAACAGTTAGTTATTGCTCATTTGTGTAATTATTGACAGATTCAGGATGAACCTTTAGGCAGCTACCACTATCCAGTTTCCCTCTGTGTAAATATTCAACCATGTGTGTATGTATGACATAGGTCCTGTGGAAGTAAGATTTGTTTGTAGTAAAGCTAACTGGTCTGAATTTTATGCTCTATTTGAAATTTTTTATCCTTTTCACCATTGAGTCTGAACATTGCCTAAAATTGTTTTATAAATACTTTATATGATTTAAGAGATATAAGTAGTTGTAGGAGAAAGAAAAAGCATTATAAGTTAATTTATAGTACCATAAATGTAAGAAGATTTGACAACTAACTAATATGTCAATCATTCTGTTTGATTGAAACAGGAAAAACCTGATTATTTATGGCCTCTAAGACGGAAAAGAGTTCGCCTGGTCAGCTATACATATATTACTCTTGACCAAACTAACGCGGACGAAGTCGTGGGCAAAAATTAGTTTAAAATAAAATATATGTTTATACTCTCATAGAAAATTTGTACAACAGTGACATTAATAAAGAGTTTACGTTGTTTCCCACCCGCAGTGGTATAGGCGGTATAATGAGATTGTTGATAGTACCTATAACACATTTAGATTTTAATCGAGATGACAGTCCATCACAACCAGTACCATTCTCCGATTTACTATGTTTACTTCAAAACCAATTCGTGAAAGTGGAATGTGATATTATGCTGAGGTGTAGAAAGATTTACCAATAAGACAATGCTGTGATAAACTAGGCGCAATAGGAAGGCGGAAATTCATAACGATTATAGCAAGAATGCGGCTTGGTTGGGTTATTAAATAGACCGCAGGCTTTTGTTCATCCTTACCATTTCATTCCAACAACAGCGGGAAAGGTTTATTTGTATAGGATTAGTTATTTATGTTAGAAATGTAACTTTAATTTTAAGTTTTATTGTTTTTCTTCCTTTTTACGTTGTTTCTTGTAGAAAATTGTTGTATTGATGTATGCGGCTGAAGGTCTCTGAATATATATAGGTTGGAAATATGTAACAAAAATTAGTAATCATGGATTTTTCACAGAAGGGCTAACTTTCATCAATATTTTAACTTATTCGAAGTCGCTGTGTTGGAGATAGAATTCTTGAATTCTGTTGTACCTATCCCTGAATATGCTGCGAGGGACAAATTATCATCCTTAAAACTAACTAGTTTATTGTTGGCAAATCATAGATATTTTTAGAATACTGTGGGCTGTTAACTATTTTCAATGTTGTGTGGCAATTTGTCTTTCTACTATATTTTTTTCCTAACAGTATCCGCACTACAACAGTTAAAGCACCCCATGGAAAAAATAAAATGTTTTCTTGGAATTGTGAACAAGTTTAGCTATCTCTACTTTTTAATTGTTGTCTATATCCTTTGAAAAGGCTATAGTTTTCATAGCTGTTACAAAAATTATTAGAGAATTTTGGTAAACTTATTTAAGCTAGATAATCTTTTATTGCTGTATAAAAAGAAAGAAAAATTATTGTAGCTTTGATAGATAGAAGTAATATTAAGTGATTGTGTCAAGATGCACTGTTTTGGAATAAAACTTCTTTATCTGACGTGTATATAATGCTAGATTTAAAATTTTTGTATTCTATTTAATTAGAAAATGTGTCATTTGAAATTGATTCAAAAAAAAAACTATGCAATCCGCAAACGGCTAAATAAACTGTACATATAAAAAAATACACTAATTTCCATAACTGAGGCAGTTACAAAATTCATTAGCAAATATAATGAGGTGTGCGATGATGAAAAAAAAGTTCTTTTAATAATATAATTTATTAACATATAAACGGTTATTATTCACAGTAGAACGTTTTACATAGCAAGTAGGATATGGCTTGCATTGTCATGCAAAAGGAATCCACGCGATTTGAACTATGAGAAGCAATAAAAACATATAAAACAGACAAGACGTCTCACACTGCCGATTGATATATAAAATTATTCTATGCAAAGAATTTAATAAAACTTAAAAATAACTTCAGTCCATAAACAGTGTTCGTGACACAGTAATTCAGTTAATAATGTTATAATTCATTGTATCTCTAATACCTAAAATCATAAACAATCAAGATCGCGTGGTTCCGCCTATTTAATATTAATAACTACATAGGCCTTTTCCTGCTAGGTCGGAGCTTTTGTATTGAAAAGATTTTCTAGTCCCGCCCCGTCGGTGTCCAGAGCACTGCGAGGTTTGTCTCTAGGTATGTTCATCGTTGGTAGATCCAGTATGAAAACCTCCTTCTTGAACAGTTGTCCGACGTTTCTTCCTATCAACTGTAAAAAATATTTATTTTAATACAATTACATATCAATCGTAAAATTTAATTAAGTGTAACTTTGATATATCATGTTATATTCGTTTAGATTACAATTAGACCCCAAAAATATTTTCTCTTAGGAAAATGTGAAATAAAAAATAGGTTTTTGACTAAATATATATATTAAATATAAACTATTAAGTTCTGTTTCCATTTTAAGAGTATTCCGATTAAAAATCTACTTTCAGAGGAGATTATACATTTTTTGACTAGAAATAAATAAAATCAATAATCCAGAAAACTTATTTAAATTTCTAAACTTCTCGCAAAATGCATATACCTAATAAATAAAGATGCCGTGTATATGATACCTAATAAAAAAATGAATGTATATAATAATGCTTTTAGAAGCAATATAAGTCATGTCCCAACATAGCTAATTTTGTAGATATCATAAAAACTACACCCGTAACAACTTATAACAAAGAATTTAATGATATTGATCTTAATTCCTTGAATACTTTTAAAACCAAAATCGCAGGAAAACTTCATTTATAATATATTAAACGATTTGATGTCTTTCTTCTCTTTTCGTTTTTTGAAAAATGTATTAGTGACTAAAATTATTTTTTTATTTTATTAGGTATTTACTTGTTCTCTATTTAATAGTTTAAAATATGTATCTGTTTAGACGACTTTCGCCACTGTTTTCAAACTGATGTTGTTAATATATATATACACGGTGACTGGTGAATTATGTACTATCGATACTTGAGGACGTGATATTTGACGATCATATATGAGAAAATAAATATTAATATAACATAAATATTAATAAACTTCTAAGTAAAGTTTAACCAAAAGTTATGTAATTAATTACGCATCGTGTGAACACCCTACAGATTAGGTATACACACACACTCACACATACGCGTGCGGCGGCGTAGTGTTGTATCAGCACGCCGCCGCACGCGTCCTCCCTGTATATACAACGTGTAACGTAATTAACGCACACCCTCAAACACCCCAATTAGAATATAATAATACAAACGCAAGGCATACACCAAATATTATTATATGTGCGTTTGCATTTTTTATTTGTGAAATTAGTTATCCCAATTTTGTTGAAATAATATGCACCCTGTATGTTGCACACACAGACAGACACAATGTACTCGCCGCGCCGCGCCCCTCTCTCAGAGTGCCGTCCGACAATAATAAGTAGTAGGTAGGTAGAACACGAAATAACTACATTATGATTTATGATTCTTCTTTCCATCTCACTTTTCAGGCTTTAGATTGTCGACATTAATTTTTTTTAAAATATGAAGCCAATATTTTATAATTACTGATTTGTTAAATTAAATTTGTAAATAAGAAGTATTAATCAGCTGATAACGCGTGATTTGATTAGACACCACAAAAAAAGTCGAGTGGCGTCAAATCAGCTGATCTAGGAGGTCAATGGACACGTGCGGTAGGTATTTGATGTGTGCCGACTATCGCTGTTGGTGTTGCGTACGTAGGATGACAGTAATTTACTTAGTTCTATCTAAATTTGAGAAAAAAATGACCTACATAAAAAACTATAAAAATCGATCCAGATACCGATTCTGAACAAACTACTTTCAGAGTGTGTGTCAATTATGTTACATGTTGTATATACATATAGGTATGTATAGGTATATTCTAAATGTATTCCAGTTTGGACTCTCCTTGTCTTTATGTAACTTAATTTTAGATCATTGTAGTTTTATATTAATGACTGTTTGTGTCAAAATAAAAAGAAATAAATAAATAATGAACTCTTCATGATCAGAAACATATACTTTATTATTTTAGGTACGTCATTTGCTTCGCTCCTTTAAGAAAAACTGCTTTTTACTACTGTATATATGTCGTCTACCTGAGGTAGTGTGCGCGTGCATGTGTGTGTGTGTGTACATTACCCTGGAGGCGATCTTCTTGAACAAGTCCCTCTTGCTCTTGTCGACCTTGGCTGGTCTGAGAGGCGGCGCGGCCAGCTTGTCGTCCAGACGCTGCACGTCCACCGCCTCCACCCCGGGGATGGCGCACAGCACGGACGACACCTCCGGGTACACGGGACGGAGCGCCTCGTACGTCTGGAACATTTACATTATGTTTAATGGCACTCCATTATAAAAAGACTATTGATTGATGAATAAATTAATACTAAAACAAAACATATACAATTGGAACAATCTAAAATACAATATATTTTATATATAAACTAGCTGCGCCCCGCGGTGTTACCCGCGGATTTCCGGGATTTCCGGATTGTAAAGTAGCCTATGTGTTATTCCTGGACGTCAGCTTCCTGTATACAAAATTTTATCAAAATCGGTTCAGCCGTTTGAGCGTGAAGAAGTAACAAACATACACACACACACAAACTTTCGAAATTATAATATTAGTCCGATCAAATTAGACATTCGGTGCTACATAAATTCGCAACAAGCTGAATTTTGGTACAATTGTTCAAAACACGATTATAAACAATAGCTGAAAGTTCCCCATCATTCCCGTCACCCGTGTGTGGAAAAAAAATTATTCAAGGTCAAAGGTCAAAAAAATGAGTTTTTCGATATTTTCACCAAAGGGGTAAGTTTTATCATAAAAGTACCTCAGACAAAAATTATAGATCATAAAATTATCTATACCAAATGTATCAATACTTCTTTTCTTACGAGACACCGTTTCTGAGATATAACTATTCAAAAAGTTATAAAAGTTGTTATCGTCATAATTGTACCAAAATTCAGCTTGTTGCGAATTTATGTAATTTCACCCTAATTTTTTGGTGTAATTTGACCGGACTATTAGTAGGATGCTAATCATTGTAAAATTGTATATGACTTTTACATAAACAAATTTTAAAACAAATACCTGTACAGCGAGCGCTAGTAGCGCAGCCTGATTCGCTTCGTGCTGTCCGTGTAGTCTAAGCGCGTGTAGAACGGCGGCCAATGCGCCTGCAGCCTCACCGGCGCCTAGGGCTGCGACCCCGCCGCTCAGCGAGCCTCCAGCCCCTGGTAGGGACTCCGTCCCTCTACCGGCCAAGGCAGCTCGTAGCGCCGGTAACGCCAGCGAACACGCGCGCAGAGACGACGTTGAATCGTTCCAAGTGAGGGCGCGGAGAATCTGAAAGTGTTTTAATGAAATATTTCATACTGAATATTTCTTTTTAATCCTAAATAGATAGATATTTACTGATATCATAGATTGAATTTAAGAATTCGTGGAAAACTACATACACATTCTATGAATGTATATCTTCGTCCTTTCCAGTTCTAGGCACATCTGTTTTAAATATGTAGAGTTATAGTCGAAATAAACTTCAAACTTACATGTTATTGTTGTCAATGACTTAATAAATAGTAGGTAAAATGTAATCTCTGGTAGAAACATTCATTTTTATAAAATTAATTACATTTTATAGCTTTATATCAATACGGCCTTTATTTAACTTTAAGCTTATAGTCTCTTCCTAATATTTATTTATTTCGGTAATCCAACAGTGCTTATACTAATGACATGATAAAATATAACTAAATAATACTAAGACCAATACAGGATTACACAATTAAAGTAGAAGTATAAACATAAACGTAACTTAAGTATCCGTTAGATTGTCATCAGCCTATCAGAAGCCCACTGCTGAGCAAGGCCTCTTTCTCACATGGAGAAGGTTTGAGCATTAATCACCACGCTTGCTCAAGACGAGTTGGTGATTTCAAACTTATAATTGTGAAACTATAAGTCCAGGTTTCCTCACGATGTTTTCCTTCACCGTATGTCAGTGATGTCTAAATACTCTTAGAAAGTACATATGACTCCGAAAAATCACATTGGTACTTGCCAGGTTTGAACCCGCGCCCTCGGCAATGAGAGGCGGACCCCTTAACCACTAGGCCACCATTGACTTCATCCATTAGATTAGTGGTCTGTAATTTTGGATATTGTTTTTTAATCCCTTTTTATGAAGTGGTTTAATTAATGCCTCTTTCCACTTGGAAGGAAACGAAGCAAACTCGTTAAGAGATTTCTATTTTCGGCGCAGCGAATATAGAATATAGGAGGAATTTTATCGCTACCACAACCTTTCGAGGGGTTTATTTTCCTTATTATTTTTAAAATAGAATCTTTTGTGATTGTAATGTTAGCAATATGCTAAAACACACCTAGCTAGATCGGTTTATCGCCCCCGAAACCCACTATATTTCATGAAAATCATTGGAGTCAATTCCGAGATTCCAATTATATATAAATAAAAATAAGTCCAGTTTTCCTTCCTGACGCTATAACTCCAGAACGCGCGAACCGATTTCCACGGTTTTGCATGTCTCGGGTTTCGTCAGGTTTATAGCAAATAAATTCAGAAAAAATTTCAACAGAAAAGCTGGAAAATCTTTTTCACATACAGCGCCATCTCTGATACATAACATGTACTACAAATCAATATTTTAAGTAGATGGCGCCAATGCATGATACATTGTTTGACAGCTACTCATTGTTCTTTGTTCAGTTAATTTCATGTGACAAACCGGCATTGTGTTTGTAATTTAAACTCTTAAAACCAATTAGTATTTGCGGGATAGAAAATTATTGTTTTTTTCACATGGGCAGTTATACTTTGCGTGTTCACGAGTTGGGAAACCATCCGCTTTATTTGTGTTAACGTTAGACCAAAAACCAAAAAAATGTGGTTTTACCAAAGGAGCACTTAAATGAAACGGATAATTTGCGGACACGTATAACGCTTTGATTCGGTATCTACTTTGGATTCACTTTCATTTACTGAGAGAAGTTCAACTAAATAACACTTCATTTTTGTAATGGAAATGAATTCATTACTGTTTTGAAATGAAATAAAAATTTTCCTTTTCAAATATAAAACAAAAAAAATCTTCATCTTTTAATCACCAAATTAAATGTTACATGAAACGAAGCCTTTTGGTGGCGAAACGGAGTTCGCCGGGTTTACTAGTTATATATAAATATACAGGGTGACTGGTGAATTACTATCGATATTTGAGGACGTGATATTTGATGATCATATATGACGAAATAAAAATTAATATAACATAAATATTAATAAACTTCTAAGTAAAGTTAACCAAAAGTTATGTAATTTATTACGCATTGTGTGAACACCCTACAGATTAGGTATACACTGACACTCACACATACGCGTGTCGTGACGTAGTGTTGTATCAGCACGCCGCCGCACGCGTCCACACTTGAACACTTGGAACGTGCCAACGCTTTATTTATTTTTACGGAAATTTTGTCAAAAATTAAGTGCCTATTTTTTTTACATAATTCGAATGAGAATCATGTACCGAGTATGCTCCTTAAATATTGATAGTAATTCACCAGTCACCCTGTATATACACGAATTGCTCATTTAAATATAAAGATAAGATAGACATATATGCATAACATCACTCACTGTGTGTAAGACCGCAGGTCCCGCTACGGGATCCGATATAATGATCCCTCCTAACTCCGAAACTTGTTCCGGAGCGCGGCCAGGATTCACTGGTGTTACAGTTTCATCCTCCATGTCCGTACTCTCAGTGGTCACACCGCCCTCCACTAAACAAACCTGCGGGATACAATCAAATGATCATTAACACGGATTCCTTACATTATTTACCAAAAATGATTAACTTTGTTTGTATATATTAATACTACATATACTATATTTTAATGACTTAAAAGTTAAAATATACCAGACAATCTGAAAATTAAGGTTTTACTTTAATTTGTGTAATTCTTATATTTCATACATTTGATGTATATACAGTATAACACAGCACATTTGTAGTGTATTACGAAAAAAAATATTTCTTAGGAATTATAAGATTTTATATATTCTTTGTCAGTGTTATAAGCAACCTTCAGTAAGTCCAAGTGTTCCCTGGTGAGATGTCTGACCAGCATATCTTCCAACACCTCCTGTGACTCACTGCCCCCCTCTTCTTCCAACTTCCCTGACTCATATAACGACGTCACGTAGTCCCAGCGCTGATTTAAATGTACCAACACTAAACAGAGACAAGGCAACAATAAGACTGGATAAGAATATGTACATCTCTTCATAAATTCATTGAAATACATACAAATTACATATGGATTTTATATTATCATACAATTACTAATACCATTTCGCTAATTTAACCACTAAAGTTTATACACTTGTTACTTAGGAACAAGACCTAATAACTTCATATGAAAACGTTACTTTATATACGTTGGCGTTACTGAAAATAGCAGATCAAAAAGAAAATTTTTTCTACAGGACCAATGCTTGGTTAATCTTGCATAGTGATACGATAATTTTTTTTTTTTTGTACGAAAAAGTACAATAAGTTAGGTTCGTTACGGTGCTGGCTACATACTGATAGGAGCCAGATGTTGTAACAGCGGCAGCGCCACGTCCCTGTAGTGAGCGGGCGGGCAGTGCAGCAGGAGCGGTCTGAGAGCGGCTCGCAGCACGCGGCGCAGCCAGTGCTCGGGCAGGCGCTCCGGACCACCCAACAGAGAGCCCGCCACCGCGCGCGCCAGGCCTGCGCAGCTGTACAATTCACGACCCAGAGACGAGGCCGCCGCGCCCACCAGTTGACACACCTGCACCGACACATAACATATATAGATTATAAAACCATGGGTACATACACTAGATGGCAGAATTTTATACTTCACTATACATAAACAGTTAAAGAGTAATAGAAAATCATGTTTTCTACTCTCAATCAATGATACTGGTGTAACAACTAATTCATATCCATATTCTGTTTAAACTTTCAAACAAACCAGCAGAGATCACTCACATTGTCGTGTAGCGTGTGTAGAAGGTTTTGCATACGGTCCTGTGGTGAGGTGGGCGAGGCGGTCTGTCCGGCGGGCGAGGAGGGCGACTCGTCCCGCAGCCCGAGGAGGTTGCGGCGCTCCGCCGGCGGCGGCAACAAGGCCCGCGCGTGATCCGCGTGCCGCAGGGAGGCCGCGTGAGGCGCGTGCAGCTCGTGCAGCGAGCGGGCCAGAGCTAGCACGCCGGGGAACAGGGGCAGCACGTGCACCCCGCACGGGTTCCTCCACACGGGGTTCCCCGAGGCCGTGACGCCCGCGCCGAAGCCCCCGCGAGCCGCCTTGTCCGGATCGGCCGGCACCTGAGTCCTCTTCACGACGCCGAGCGTGAGTGTGAGGGCGTGCAGTAAGGTCCGGCGCGCCGCGGCCCGCTCGGGGTCGTCGCTGGGAGGCGCGTCCAGCCCGATGAGGCGCGCCAGGCCGGCCGCGGACTGGATGTGCTCGGACAGGGCGGCCCAGCGCTCGCGACAGTCGCCCATCACTTGAGCGACCAGAGCGCTCTGCCGCTCGTAGCAGCAGAAGTGGTTGGAGACCAGCAGCAGCGCCTCCTGCAGCGTGACGCTCTCCATGGCGCTGAGGTCGGGGCGGGCCAGCGCGGCGCGGGACAGCTCGTGGAGACGACCGAACACAGGCAGCAGCAGCAACGGGTACTGGAATCACGGTTATACGAACATCAAAAGAAACAAATTAATATTTTCAAATCTTGCAGCAACCGTGACCACAAACAGACGAGATGAAAACTTCTTATGTTAATAAAATTTCAAATGGATAAATATTGAACTTTTAGAAATAATGATAATAATGTTACATATGCGATTAATTAAATAACAACAAGTTGTATGACAACAGAGGTTGAACCAGATTTCATTCTTTGTTTCCAAACAATCCACGACTCGTTTAAGCCATCCTGATTCAATAAACAGGAATTCTTTAATCCAGTCGCTGGTTCTGATCCTTCTAGTGTCGACCATTTCATACTCTCTATATTTTCTATTTGACATTAAATTGAAGGTCTATGATTAATATCAGAACACCAAAATCGTTCTAATAATAATTAATAGTGTGTAAGGGTCACTGACCTTAGACCCGAGTTTGACCAACAACCCCGCGGCGTGTCGCCTCACGTTCTTTACGTTCCGTGAACTACGATCTTCAGGCGGCGTCCCCTCGTACACGAGCGACGCGAATATCTTATCCAGAACACGAGGCAGAAGCTCCACGCCCGCTGACCCGACACCAGGACCTTCATGTAAAATTATTTATATTATATATCAATAACTTATACAGGACATAAATCTAAATTCACTATTATACAGTCTCTGAACGATTCCTTTTAATTTCTTAGTACAAAAGTATAATTTTAAACGGCATTTTTTATATTAATGTAATTAAGAACAGTTGTATTTAACAGAAAGTGTCAAAAACAATAAGAACCACCAAAATAAATCATGGTAATGAGACAAACCTGCCATCTGACTGTACGCGCAGCTCAGGAACACAAAAAGGGCCGATATAAAAGATAGTAGCAGTGAATGTATGAGAGGCGCGCGGGGTTCACACGACACGCAGCGCTGCAGGAGGCGCAGACCCTCCGACACGTTGGGGCGAGGCTCGGCTTGAAGCAGGCGAGACAGGACCACGTCCAGGACCTAGGGATAACAAACTACAGTGTTAATATATCATTATCTAATATATAAAAATACGCAACAATAAGAAAAGCAAACAATGTGTTAAAAGTAAATAAAATAAAAGACAAATTACCATGTGGTTATTTCTATCGTACAACACTACTTACATTTATTGCTATAATCAATTATACTAGTATAAGTCAGTGGTGGTCTAGTGGTTAAAAGGCCCGCCGCTCATGCATGAGGGCGCGGGTTCGATCCTGGCAAGTACCAATGTGATTTTTCCGAATCATATGTACTTTCTAAGAGTATTTAGACATCACTGATTAATGCTAATTCCCAAAAAGGGTTGATGTCAGGCAGGCGGCTGGTCGTAAAAACTATTAGCCAAAACTATTCACATTTCACAACATACAAGGCAGACCCTGGCCAAAGCTGGGAAATTTGCCAGGAAGAAGAAGAAGAATCAATTGTAGTAGTCATATGAACGACAAAATACTACAACGACGATGTATCTATAATTGTATTAAACTAACTATACAAACACTACACCTAATAAAATTTAATTACACTTATTTTTATATATAGAGACGAAACCTCTCAGCATTCCATGGATTCACAGTACGGTTGTCGGGTCCATCCATATGCATATCTATACAGGGTGACTGGTGAATTACTATCAATATTTAAGGAGAATACTCGGTACATGATTCTCATACGAATTATGTAAAAAAAATAGGCACTTAATTTTTGACAAAATTTCCGTATAAATAAATAAAGTGTTGACACGTTCCAAGTGTTCCTAGTGTGGACGCGTGTGGCGGCGTGCTGATACAACAACACGCCGCCGTCCGCGTATGTGTGAGTGTGAGTGTATACCTAATCTGTAGGGTGTTCATACGATGCGTAATTAATTACACAACTTTTGGTTAACTTTACTTAGAAGTTTATTAATATTTATGTTATATTAATTTTTATCTTGTCATATATGATCGTCAAATATCACGTCCTCAAGTATCGATAGTAATTCACCAGTCACCCTGTATAAATACATACAAAATTCTCGTGTCGCGGTGTTAGACAGAGAACTCCTCCGAAACGGGTGGACCGATTTGGATGAAATTTTGTGAGCACATTGAGTAGGTCTGAGAATCGGCCTACATCTATTTTTCATACTCCTAAGTCATAAGGGTTGTTCACCCTTATTTTGTTTTTTTTTTGTTTTTATTATTTTTTTTTTTATGTTATAGGTGGCAAACGAACAGACGGCCCACTTGATGGAAGGTGGTTACCGTCGCCCATGGACATCCGCAACTAATATGTTGCGGATGCGTTGCCAACCTTTTTTTTTAGGGATAGGGAAGGGTGGGAATAAGGAAATACAAGGAAAGGTTGGGAAAAGGGAAAGGGCAACCGGTTCTCTCACTCATCGGACGAAACGCAGTCATTACTGACTACTTCACGCCGATCTTCTGTTATTTGTTTATAATGTAGCATTAAAAAATACGTCGTTGTCGTCATCAGCCTATCAGCGCCCACTGCTGAGCAAAGGCCTCTTTCTCACATGGAGAAGGATTGATCATTAATCACCACGCTTGCTCAAGACGGGTTGGTGATTTCAAACTTATAATTGTGAAACTATAAGTCCAGTCAGTGGGGTCTAAATACTCTCAGAAAGTACACATGACTCCGAAAAATAACATTGGTACTTGCCAGGTTTGAACCCGCGCTCTCGGCAACGAGAGGCGGACTCCTTAACCACTACTGGCCACCACTGACTTTTTTTTTAAATACATATATAAAAACAAACATTTTTACTTTTTTATAACCAACCCCTTTTTATATGGTAAACAACATGTACCGGGTCAGCTAGTTATACATATAAATAAAGTGTATTTTATTTTTTCTACTGGTACATCTTCATACTTGTGCTAGCGCCTCCCACTCCACGTGTAGCGGGTGTGTGACGTCACACTGTAGCGGACACGAGTCCACCTTGTCTAACGCCGTGTTCGTCCATTGCTCGACATACGACCAGGTCACTAGAGGCGCGGCAGTCATACAGTATCTGAAAACGACGATATATATCATTGTGGTGTATAGAATTAAGTATAAGTAGTATGTAATAGCATGAAACTAGAATACATTATAAATAGTGTAACAAAAAATTTATATTCAGTAATAAACTGATCGTGTAACGAAAAACTTGTTATTATTAAACATCCCGAGCTCCCCACCTTACATGGCGACCCTGCCATACAAGGCGGGCTACCGGAGTTCGGTCGCGCGTGACAGCTATTAGACAATTTATTATATTTAAAAAAAGTTAAAATGTGCCGGTCTAATGTGAAAAATGAAGAGGTTTTCGTAAACCAAAATGCAGTTGGGTCTGTCTCTCAGGCATATCACTTATCGAATATCAGCATTGTCCTGGGGCTCATGTGTATTATCCTAGCGATTGCGGGACTTTGTGGGCTGTTCCTTCTATACAGAAGATGCCATAATAGATGGATCCGCAATGAGGTATGGTCACAGTCCTTGAGGCGTTCGATCCGGCGACCGACCCGGGAGGCTCGTGTGTGCTACGAATGCCAGCATAACCCAGAAAAAGCCAAGGATAGTGAAAAAAGTGGTTTTTAGATGTGCAGTGATCGGTAAGAATATACAGGGTGACTGGTGAATTACTATCGATATTTGAGGACGTGATATTTGACGATCATATATGACAAAATAAAAATTAATATAACATAAATATTAATAAACTTTTAAGTAAAGTTAACCAAAAGTTATGTAATTAATTACGCATCGTATGAACACCCTACAGATTAGGTATACACACACACACGCACTCGCGCGCGGCGGCGTGTTGTTGTATCAGCACGCCGCCGTACGCGTCCACACTTGGAACACTTGGAACGTGTACACACTATTTATTTATACGGAAATTTGGTCAAAAATTAAGTACCTATTTTTTTACATAATTCGAATGAGCATCATATATCGAATATGCTCCTTAAATATTGATAGTAATTCACCAGTCACCCTGTATAAATTTCTTTTAGTAAAACTATTCAAGTGGTGAAATATTACTTACTTACTGTGAACAATACCAGGGACGAGAATTTAATTATGAACTTATTATTTTGTTTTGTTTAAAATGTATGTTATTATTTTTTTTTTCTCTTCTCTTCATTATTTATAAATATATTTTAGTAGTAGAGTAGTATGTAAGTTATATATTTTTTTAATAATAATGTGTGCTATACTTAGAGTATTTTTTTTCTTTCGTCTAATGCCTAACGAATATTATATCTTTAATTATTAAAATGTTTTGATGGCTCACGAAATAAAAGATATTTATGTGAAGCTTAAAAATATTAAAGATAATCTGGTAAAGTTAAGCTACTCTAGGAGAACTAAGACTGCATTAGAACAAAAGTTGTACGAGGCTAATCAATTACGTGATCGTTTTGATAAGTGTATTATGCTACTAATTTCAGAGCAAATACGAAACAAACAAATAGTAGTAAAGTGTTATTGGAATTGCAGTCGTTTTGCGATTGGATCAAAGAAACATACATAGAAATACAAGTTTTTTGTTCGAAAAGTTACGCTGTAGAGTGTACTGTCGTGAGCCTTGAAAGTGACACAACCATGGCGGCGTTTGACTTTAAAACAGCTGTATCGATGATTCCGGTTATGACTGGTGATGAAACCGTCACCAAGAATCCTATTGATGCTATAGAGTTGTATAGCTCTTCACTTAATTCGGAAGGTCAAGTTATGCTTATAAAATTTGTTCTTAAGACTCCACTAAACGAGAGCGCTAAATTACGATTATCTAGTTTTTACGACAGTTGCGAGTTACTAATCCGGGATATGCAAAATCATTTACTAACTAAGAAATCAAGTGCTTCTATACATAACGAGCTAGTATCAATTAAACAAAATGGCACTTCTATAGACAACTACGGAAGAAAAACCGAAGAGTTGTTCGTCAACTTGACGATTTCGGAAGCCGAAGGTAATAAGGACGCGTATAAAATATTACAACCTATAAATGAAAAGATAGCTATTAAAGGCTTTACCGATGGCCTGCGGAATCCCAAGTTAAGCACTATATTATCAGCCCGTAATTATTCGACTCTTAAGGACGCTCTATACGTGCGGCAAAAGACGAGGAACCGTCATGTAATCGTCAAAATCCTGAATCTGGTATATATTTTGCGCAACGCGGACGACTAAACCCGAGGTACCCGAGGTCAAAATCGGGGTATTGTTAATAGGCAAACGTTTAATCGAAATGTACAATTTTTACGGAACAATAATAATACAGAGATGGAATGTTCCATTATATAAACAACGCAAAGTTGAATCAATTGGATATGTTTATGTTATGCTTAACATAAATGGTCAGGAATTCGAACACAAGTTTTATGTTATCGATTACCGATTTATTACAAAAATACGGCGCTATTTTAGATTTTGAGAAAAATACTTTATCATTTAATAACTTTAGAAATGATCGTATAACAATTCCTATGATTGGTGGATCTTCAGGTAAAACAAGCTTTTTAACAATTCCACCGAGATGCGAAAAATTTTTTCTTGTTGATAGTATCAATAACGATGAGTGTGTAGTAATACCGACAGAGTTATGTCAAGGTGTTTTCTTGGGTGGTAGTGTATGTAAGCCTGCAAATAATAAAATTAAAATCTTAATATTAAACACTCGCGAAACGGAAGTGTGTCTTAGTTACTTCCGACCGGAAGTACACAAATTAACTGAATACGACTTTTGTAATTTTGAGTCCAGCAGTGTTGATGGGGATAGAGTGCGTAAATTATTAACTTCCCTTAAGTTAAATCATTTAAATAACGAAAAACGGGTCTCAATTGAAAACATTTGCGCCAAATTTTCGGACGTTTTCCATTTACCTAACGATAAATTAACAACGGCTAATTTATACGATCAAACTATACAGTTAAAACCAAATGCGGACCCCGTATATATAAAACAATATCGCTTGCCTTTCGCGCAGCGTGCGGAAATTGAAAAACAAATCCAAAAAATGCTTTCAGATAATATTATTGAACCAGAAAAGAGTGAGTGGTCCAATCCAATTTTATTATTGCCTAAAAACGGTAATCAATCTAATGACGAATCTAAAAAATGGAGATTATTAATCGATTTTCGTAAACTTAACGATAGGATTTTAGATGATAAATTCCCACTGCCGAACATCACTCATTTTTTAGATTCCCTATCAGGTGCCATGTATTTTACTCAATTAGACTTGTCACAAGCATATTATCAAGCTAGTTTAAGCCCCGAATGTCGTAAGTACACAGCCTTCATGACACCGTCCGGACAGTATCAAATGACGCGTCTTCCGATGGGTTTAAAAATTAGTCCTAGTTCTTTCTCAAGATTAATGACAATCGCTATGTCGGGTTTAACTTATGATAAATTATTTATTTATTTAGATAATTTGATTTGTTTTGGAAGAAATTTAGACATGCATAATAAAAATTTAATAAATATTTTGACAAGACTTCGAAAAACTCATTTAAAATTAAACCCAATTAAATGTGATTTTTAAGGAAAGAAATGCAATTTTTAGGACATGTAATTTCAACAGAAGGTATAAAACCAGACCCAGAGAAAACAAAAGCTGTACAAAACTATCCTGTACCGAAAAACGCCGATGAAACAAAAAGATTTGTTGCATTCACTAACTATTACAGAAAATTTATCCCAAATTTTGCCGAGAAAGCATTGCCGCTCAATAAACTATGTCGTAAAAATATAGAATTTAAATGGACTTCAGAATGTCAAAATTCATTTTCTTCGCTTAAAAAGGCACTTATATACCAATCCTACAATACCCGAACTTTGATATTGAAAATATCATTCATTTTACAAACCGATGCTTCTGGCTTTGCAATTGGATCAGTATTAAGTAATAGCGATAATAAACCAGTAGCATTCGCTAGTCGGAATTTAAATAAAGCTGAAATAAGACACCCGACCATAGAAATAGAACTACTTGCTATAGTATGGTCCATTAAATATTTTAGGCCGTACCTTTATGGTCGCAGGTTTATTATTAGAACCGATCATAGACCTTTAATTTATCATTTTAATATGACAAACCCTTCAAGTCGTTTGACAAAATTTAGGCTATTAGTGGAGGAATACAATTACACTATCGAATACGTAAAAGGAACGGACAATGCAGCTGCAGATGCTTTGTCTCGCATCCGATTAACAAGTGAGGATTTGAAAGAGATGAATGATAAGCTGATGTGTGTATTAACCAGAGAGCAAAGGAAGAGGTTGGAAAAGGAGAATATAAGAAATAAAAGTGACAGCCCTATGGTCGATAAAAGTACCACAAACATTTGGCCTGATCAACCAAATGTTGTGAGTACATATAAAAAACCAGACGGATGAAGAATGGAATAAAATAGAGTGTAATACGCTGGAAAAGTCTAATTTATTTGCATATAACTCACAAAAACAAATAATTTATATTAATCCTTCTTTCCGATCATATTGTGCACGAGATGCCTTTGTGAGGAAATTAGGTAATATGTGTAACCAATTGAAAATAAGTAATGTGTTTATATTAAAAAATGATTGCAATCATAAGGAGATAAAGGATTTAATTAGTGTAATAAATGACACACAAAGTAGGTCCGGACCACGTTTTTATATGTATTTTAAATGGTGTAAAAAGGATATTTGATCGCGATACTCAACGCGTAATACTAAACGATTATCATATGTTGCCGACAAGCGGGCACGTCGGCATAAGACGCATGGTAAATAATATAAAGCGACGATATTTTTGGCCAGGTCTAGAAAAAGACGTTGCGGAATTCGTTAATCGTTGTGATAAGTGTTTACGACAAAAACACTTTAAACATATAAAAGAACCAATGGTTTTAACCGACACAGGATATACCGCTTTTGACAGGGTTTATTTTGATTTAGTAGGGCCCTTAAGTAAGGATAGCTATAATTATTCATTTATTCTCACACTCCAGTGTGATTTAAGTATGTTGAGGCTTATCCTCTTAAGAATAAAGATACGGTTTCAGTAGCGTCAGCGTTTGTTAAAAATTTTATACTACGGTACTGAATCCCGCGACACATTATAACTGATCGGGGTATTGAGTTCGTTTCCACAGTCATGCGAGAAGTCTGTGAAATTCTTAAAATTAAACAAATAACGTCTACAGCGTACCATCATGAATCAATAGGTAGTTTAGAAAATACACATAAAAATTTAATGTCATACTTTCGAATTCAAACTGACAATGAACCACAAAATTGGAGTAATTGGCTACCTTATTGGTGCTTTGATTTCAATACGACCATACATTCAGAAACAAAATATTCACCGTACGAACTCGTCTTCGGAAAACCGTGTAATTTACCCAGAAATTTAACTATGGAAATAGATCCGTTATACAATCATTACGATTAGCCAAAACAATTAAAATATAGACTACAAAAATCGCAATATGAGGCAAGGAAAAATTTAATTAAAAGCAAAGAAATAAGAAAAATAAAATATGATTGTTACATATACAAAATACATATGTTGGTGACCTGATACTGCTCAGAAACAATGTTATAAACAAACTCGATCCTTTATACATAGGACCGTTTAGAGCTATTGAAGATTGTGAACCTAATCTAAAAATAGATTATAAAGGCAAAGAAATGTTAGTACATAAGAATAGGACTACACCTTATTTAAGAAATTTATAATAATCAATAAGTGTATTATAATATAATAAAAAAAAAAAGATTATTAACATATATATAAACTATAACCGTGAATCTTATTTTTAAGTAATAATGTTTTTTTTGTATTGTATTAGCAGAATAAAATAAAAATTATATTCATTTTAATTTTATTTTTTTTTGACGATGGGCGTGTGGTATATGAATTAAGTATAAGTAGTATGTAATAGCATGTAACTAGAATAAATTATAAATATTGTAACAAAGAATTTATATTCAGTAATAAACTGATCCTGTAACGAAAAACTTGTTATTATTAAACATCCCGAGCTCCCCACCTTACATCATCAATACATGATAAATAAAATTATTATTTTAAAATGCTGATAATATTCTTTGTATTTTAATATGTACTATTTCAATATATACAATACAGAATATAAAAATTATGGTATATTGTGCACAGATCACTCATTGTTACAGATTAGTAATAATAGGAAGATAGCGATATATTTTAAGTATTGAGATTACCTGAAGCTCTCCAGCATCTCAGTTCTTGCGCGACTGAAGAACACTGCGAACTCGTGGTCGCTGTCGTAGTCACACGCACAGCCCACAGACTCACGGGGTGACCACACCTTAAATATTATATGAAGAGAAAACATTATTTATATTAAACTATACTCACATAATGTTGGTATTGAGTGTATAAAGTATTGTTACACTTATCCTACTAATATTATAATTGCGAAAGTTTGTGAGTGTGTGTGTATGTTTGTTACTTCTTCACGCTCAAACGGCTGAACCGATTTTGATAAAATTTTGTATACAGGAAGCTGACGTCCAGTAATAACACATAGGCTACTTTACATCCCGGAAATCCGCGGGTAACACCGCAGGGCGCAGCTAGTAATTATATATTTTTAAATTCTTATGCCTGACAGTAATTTACTTCACTTTTATTTCATGTCAAATTGTATTAAGTGGGTGTGCCACTGTGAGACATGAATGAAAAAATATATATTTAAAAAATATTATATACTATTAATTAATTAATATTTATCACCGTACAAATTTTTGTTTGAATAACTACACATTCATCCTTATATGTATATCCAAATATCAATACATTTTATACAGTAGAAATTCGATTATCCGGCCCTCAGTTATACGGATTCGCGATTATCCGGACTACGGATAAGTCCCGACAAGAAAAAATGTCAAAGCGTAAGAGAGCGGTGTTGTTGAGAGTGGCGTACGACGTACGTTATATGGCAATTACTAAATATTCTAAACCAAATTAAATTTATTATTTTATTGCACGATTAAAATCTGCAGTTTTAGTATACAGGGTGATTGGTGAATTACTATCGATATTTGAGGACGTGATATTTGACGATCATATATGACAAAATAAAAATTAATATAACATAAATATTAATAAACTTCTAAGTAAAGTTAACCAAAAGTTATGTAATTAATTACGCATCGTGTGAACACCCTACAGATTACGTATACGTACACACACACACAAACGCGTGCGGGGGCGTGGTGTTGTATCAGCGCGCCGCCGCACGCGTCCACACTTGGAACACTTGGAACGTGTCAATACTCTATTTATTTATACGGAAATTTTGTCAAAAATTAAGTGCCTATTTTTTTACATAATTCGAATGAGAATCATGTACCGAGTACTCTCCTTAAATATTGATAGTAATTCACCAGTCACCCTGTATAAATGTATATGTATGTATATGTAATCTAAGAAAATGTATCTTTTAATGATTTATTGATTTTCGTTTATATGTATTTGTTATTTTTTATATAAACTAAATACTACATATGCACAAAACCGGCTTTTCTTCATACATTCGATTATCCGGATTTTCGATTATTCGAATGCTTATCTTATCGACAACAAATAATCCGGTTAATCGAGTTTCTACTGTATGTTAAAAATTGCACACACCTTCAATATTTTAGGTGTGGCTGCTTGCAACCACCTGGGCACCATGGCCAATACATGTGGCAGTTTTGATATCTGATCATGTTTGAGAAATGCGAGCCACACTGAGTTAGCTGTGTGAGCCAATGTGTGTGAGGGGTGGGACGTTAGAAGCAGCATTGTCTCAAGGAGAAGAGGCAGCCACGAGTCCACATTTGTAGCACAGTTCCACATTGAGGTCAGTTGTTGGGCAAGACCAGCTAGAACCTGGGATTATAAACATGAATTAATTTGAACACCAAAATATCAACATCTACCCGTAGAATCTCTTTTCTGCGTAAGATAGCACAAAAAATTTGAAAAATTTAAATAGTAGTTGAAACTAAATACCTTCTTGCTAAATATAATTGAGTTTAGAGATATAACATATTGATAATTATAAAAGTATTTCATAGAAAAATGTTATGATATAAGTAATGTGAATAAGGTACCTGTGAGAGCTTCTTTAGGAACAGGTAATGTGCTTCATCTGCGGCATTGATACTTTGCACCGCAGCGCGATGAATACAAGAGATTGCGTCTTCACTAAATAATATCATGAGCGGTTTACGCTCTTTTGTCTGTAATAAATTAAACATTTTTAATAAAACTTCATATTGGCATTTTTATTTTACAAATATGTATAAACAGGGTGACTGGTGAATTGCTATCGATACTTGAGGACGTGATATTTGACGATCATATATGACAAAATAAAAATTAATATAACATATATATTAATAAACTTCTAAGTAAAGTTAACCAAAAGTTATGTAATTGACTAGCTTTTGCCGCGACTTCGTTTGCGTAGAATAGTGACTACCGGCAGATTTTTGGTTCTTTCCACATAGTTCCCGTTCTTGCGGGGTTTTCGGAATGGTCGAGTTCCCGTAGAATTTTCAGGATAAAACCTACGTTTTTTTTAATTCATAATAAAGTACTCTTAACCAACAACATATTTATTTGTTTATTTGAATAAAGATTAATATTATTATGTTGATACAACTTAAACAAATTATTTCGACCAAATTAGGTACCTTAAAAACGGTTTTTGTGAGTTAATCTTAAAATATAGACATATACTGTCGCGGACTGTTTTTTAGATCATTAAAAGAGCTATAATTCTTTAGTACATATTTTTTGTGTATCTTGAACCGTTTTCACGGCGCACGCAACGGAAGGCTTCAAAGATGAAATAATTTCTCCCGTTTTTTACACATTTACCACTATATCTTTGCTCCTATTGGTCGTAGCGTGATGTTATATAGCCCACAGCCTTTCTCGATAACTGGACTATCCAACACAAAAAGAATTATTCAATTCGAACCTGTAGTTTCGGAGATTAGCGCTTTCAAACAAACAAACAAACAAACAAACTCTTCAGCTTTATAATATTAGTATAGATTACGCATCGTGTGAACACCCTACAGATTAGGTATACACACACACTCACACATACGCGTGCGGCGGCGTGGTGTTGTATCAGCACGCCGCCGCACGCGTCCACACTTGGAACACTTGGAACGTGTCAACACTTTATTTATTTATACGGAAATTTTGTCAAAAATTAAGTGCCTATTTTTTTTACATAATTCGAATGAGAATCATGTACCGAGTATTCTCCTTAAATATTGATAGTAATTCACCAGTCACCCTGTATAAATCTAATTAAATGTTTATTTAGTATTACAGATACACTAACCGAGCCTTTTCTATTAACAATTTGTAGTAAGCATTCAGCAGCTGGTAGTTGGAAGACATCATCGCTGAGCAATATACATAAAATTTGCAGTAACCTCCCATTATTTGTCACCACATGATTTGTCGAAACCCATTCCACAAAACCTGTGAGAGTCAGTAATACAACCTGCAAGTAAATTTATCCAATAAAATTATAAGGGTTAGAACATATAAAAAAATATATATTCATATAAAAAATTATCAAATATGTATTTCTCTGACCTGTACAACCCTGCCATTGCTTGCCGCTGCAGCATAATCACCAGTCGCAGTCTTCTCTCTAAATTCTTGTACATGTAATTCTATAAGTCTCATGAAGAATGAGAATATTTCTGCCATATTGCTCGTCAGAGCTTGATATATATCTTTACGCCGTTGGTGTTGTTCTAAAGTCTAATCACAATATTAAAATTAAGTAACTTTTTTAATTTATATAATAATTAAGTTCTTTTTGTAGCGGTAAGATTATACCTGTAATGTCGCTACATCCTCAACTAGCCTCAGGAATACATGTAAAACTATTTGTGTGTGTAAATGTCCTCTAGTACAGGCATCACTAAGTTCAGCGAGAAGTGTCGGCCATTGTTGTGGCCATTCCCTCTTTATCATCTCTACTATCACACGAGCTAATGCATCATTCAAATGACCTGTCTCCCAGCCACCCAGAGAGAGAAGTTTCATGGAGTTTTCCTATACAATTAATAAAGATTTATTTAATTTCCATCAAAAGAATACCATCAATATAGCATAATGATGGACAAGTTTGTTAACATGATTATCAAATAGTATATATAACAAATGGGTTTTATAATTAACCTTAATAAATATCTTCTCCTGCTGTGTAATCTGCGTCCATCTATATTTAACGGTGTGTTCCAAAAGTTGAAGACCAAAATGCTTTACAACTGGTGAGTATTGAGTTCCACTGGCCAGAAGTAAGCCTGCTTGGGCACACCATGGTGAATTTTCTTTGAAGCTGTAATATAAATAACAAAATCATTTATTACACATACTTAGAATTCTATATATACATATATTGTATAACAGATTGGGGAAAAGTTTCTTCACATTTTTTGAGAAAATTCAAAACATTTTTTAATATGGTTTATTTAAATTTAACTAAACTATGTGTGTACCATTTTATTCAATAACCTTTTGCCATCTTGTAGGTAGAGATATGATCTCATTGCTATAAAAATGTTGGGACTTCTCATCAAAAAATCGAGCTTTTTTTTGTACCCAGCTTTTTTCAAATGCGCCAAAACTGTTTTGTGATCAATTCAGTTCTTTAGTTACGTCGTAACTACTGATATGTCGATCTTGCTCCACTTTATCTAAAATGGCATCCATTTTATCCGTAATAGGGCGACCAGAGCGAGGTGCATCTTTGCCATCAAAATTTCCGGATTGAAAACGCCTAAACCAAATTTGCGCTACTCTCACAGATACTGCACTAGGTCCATAAACATCGCAATTTTTTTTCGGGGCATTTTTACCTTTTTTGTAGTAAAATTTTAAAATGTATCGAATTTCTTCACTAGATTCACTCATCTTGACAGTAAGAAAAACAAATGAAAATCACACATTTGCCTAATTTGTATTTATGTTCTTTAAAATTTTAACTTTTTAATGATAACAAAAACGGCCAGATACAAATACTACAGCCAAAAAGATTTTATTACAAGTTCATACATACTATAATGCGAAAAGACTTTTTCCCCGACCTATTATATATATATATATATACATATAAATAAAATTGTGACTCATAGTTTAATACCTCACTTAATTAATATATAAATATTAATTATTATGTATAATACATTTTATTATTTACAAAAAAAAAACAAATTCTCTCTTCAATAAACAAAAAATTATGATGCAATATTTATAGTGCATTAAGGTAAGTAAATGTACCCACAGTTGTATTAAGATTGCTTGACAATGTAATAAAACTATTTCGAATTAACAAAATCTGTTTGTTGTTGTTAATTGCTTTGAAACTTCATAATTTACTAAGAGATTAATATAAATACATATGTGTACTCCAAAAAAAAATCATTTTATATTCTTTACATATTTTTCTCTAATGATATATGTGCAGTACCTTTCGCATACTGTGTAGGCCTGTTTCCTGGCATCTTGATTGGCTGTCGGATTAAGCGTGAGCTCTACAGCATTACTTAATTCATCAGCTATCAAAGCCACTTCCCTTTCTCCAAATCCTACTGAGTTCATTGCAGCTTCTTAACGCTAGAAATGATATTAATAATATTAGTATGACCAACTCAAATGGGAATAGATACTTTTAAACAAAGAAAAAAATATACTGTCGTGATGAAATACTCAAGTATATGATGAAAATAAAAACAGCTGCTTGTGTTATGATTTCTACACTCACCTACTTCTATGTTAGATAGAATCCCATACAATATTTTCACTTCATGATCCTTCCTTTTTATGGCTGAAATAAATTTTGCAAACAATTTCAAGGTTTTATGGTCAAAAAACCTAAACAATTTAATGGCATGCACCCGGTATGTGACTTCTATATGCTAATAAAATCAAAGAATAATCGAATTAACAAATTTTAGAAAGGGTATGTTTTAGGGCATACATGATACATTTAGTTTTCATGTCCTTAAAACAAAACTTAAACTTAAATTCAAAACAAGAAATACCTCGTGTGATACAGAGACGAATCGGAAAATATTTCCATAGAGCATCAAATTATTTTTAACGTCATGAACACATGCTCATTATATTATGTGGTAAATAATGTTTTCACAAAAAAAAGTTTAAATTCGTAAAGTTCTAATGTTATACATATTTATTTAATAAAAAAAATCACTCATAAAACTCCAAATATAGGGCGAACAGTGCAATAATTCTCAACAATGCCTTAATTCAGTTAACAAAATAAATTAATTAATTCAATTAACGAAAGGGCTTTAGTAAACAATAATTATATCTTTATAAAAGTTTTGATAAAAGCTTTTATTAAATTAGAATTGTTCACTCTTATTACAAAGCAATCGATTTTCTATTTTTTTTAAATTTGTAATTTGGTACTTCTACAATTATTTCATTTGTTTTATGTAAGAATCATAAGCAAAAAATCTAAATATCATAATTTTAGGAGTTAATTATTTTTTAAACTAAGTTCAGGGCATAAAAAAGAATAGAATAATATATATTTGACTTTTAATCTTTTTGAAAACGAAATTATTAAACTTTATTTTTTTTTACATTTTTTTTAAATAGCATACAAACATACAATTTAATTTCCTTATATAAATTTTGTTTGGAATATTCAAACTTTAGCTTTTTTTTAATCGTAGGTATGTAGAGTTTCAAAATAGACTTTTTGCAAAATATTGTTAATGGATTCTAATAAACTAAAACTTGAATAATATTAAACCTTGTGCTCATACCGAAATAAAACCTTTTAAATCTTTTTTTCATACTTTGATTATGATCTAAATTAACTTTTATTTACCTCTATATTTTGTTATTTATAAACTCAGTTAAAATTGAATTCATTAAAATAAAAATAAAAACTCGTCTATAGTAACTATCAAACACTGTTATGACTTATGACACTAAGCCGATACACAAATTTCAAATTTAATTTGAATTTTGAATAATTGCGACGTTATCATAAAACATATATGTTTTTATATTATTATAATTATTGTAATACTTAGAAGTGTTAAAGTTTTATTGGAATTATATAAAACAGTGAACTGCGATGGAAAATAATTATGTGTCTCTTCAACCTTCTTTAGAAAAACAACTTAAAGGGCATCGCAAAAGTATAACATCATTATTTTACAATCCTAATGAACAACAGTTAGCCAGTGGCTCTTTAGATAATAGCATATTGGTAATACGACAAATAATGCCTTACTACATTAGTTTTTTACAAGATTATATATTTTAATTATATCATTCAATTTATTTGTAGTTATGGGATTTACGTGGGACGATGAGAAGTTACAGATTCCAAGGCCACGATGAAGCTGTTATGGATGTAACATTTTCACCAACGGGGAAATATATGGCTTCAGCTTCTCGAGACAAAACTGTTCGTCTTTGGGTACCAACTGTAACAGGAAGTACTGGTACATTTAAAGCGCATTCTCAGACTGTGCGATCCGTTCAATTTAGTCCCGATGGAACAAAGGCATGCTTCAAGAAAGAAACATATATTGTGAAAATACTTTATCAAATTATATTACATATTTTAACCCTTCTAAATTATAGATTGTAACAGCATCAGATGATAAAATCGTTAAGTTGTGGTCGAGTGAAAAACATAAGTTTTTGGCTTCATTCGTCGGTCACACAAATTGGGTTCGTCGGGCTCGTATCTCTCAAGATGGATCACTAATAGCTTCATGTTCTGATGATAAAACAACAAAATTATGGAACCTAGAAACGGGTGTATGTATAAACACATATAAAGATCAGAGTGCACATGGCTTACATTTGGCCTGGCATCCATCTAGTTGTTATGTGGCTATTGGAACTTCAAAGGGAAATATTAAATTGTATGATGTTAGAACACACAATCTTGTACAATTCTATAGGTAAGTAACATTTTTAAATCACTTCTTATTTATTATATTTCAAGAAATAAAACAGCCTTTTAAATTTTAGTATACACAATGATGCTGTCACACAACTTGCCTTTCATCCGAGTGGAAGTTATATATTAACTTCTAGTAAAGATGGGACCATGAAGGTAAAAGATTAATATCTTAAAGTTATTTGCACTATATTTAAGAACAACAAAGTTATATAATATTAATTATCCTCTATTATTTTAAGATTCTTGATCTGTTGGAAGGTCATCCAATATTTACATTAAGTGGACACTCTGGACCAATCAATGCTGTAGCATTCTCACCCAGTGGACAAAAATTTACCTCTGCCGGTGATGACAAGCTGGTCTGTAGAAGATATATCATAAAAGTTAAACTTTTAAATATTTAAAATATAAACTTAGAAATTATCATATATTCTTCTCTTTTCAGGTCTTTATCTGGAAGACTAATTTCACTGAACTCTCAAATCAAACAAAAGAAAATGTTGGACATAATCAATTATCAACTTCTAGATCACAGACTTCTAAAGTTAGTTCCACCAGTAGAGCGAGAGTTTTGGTTCCAAAGAGATAGCCATAGAGTAGTTTATATTTAACATAGGAAAGCTAGACTGTACATTCTAATAATCATTAAAGTATTGACATTTTGTTTAGGGACAATTGGAAACTGTGATATCAGAATATAATCTAGCTTTTAATAAGCTTGAATTCAGGGAGAATTGTGGGCTTAGTACCTAGATATAGATAACTAACTATTTATGAACATAATAGGGTGTGAAGATGTGGTATCAGTGCTATCACAACACTAAGTATCCTGTGAAAACTTTTGTCCATATTGATAATGATCCTAATGATTCTGTAAGAAGCATCAGCTTCCAAGATGCACCTAATGCAAACAGTACCATGATAGAACCTGAAGATAATCAAGTGAATGTGACAAGAACTGCTTCAAATGTTGTAAGAAACAACTCAAATTCTCAATTTCATGAGGATTGTCAATCTAGTGAATGTTCTTCATACAGTGTGGGACATATCAGTCATATTCCTCGTCAACCTCCTACACCGGCCACATATACGATTCCGTCGATTGTCAACAAGTCCATTCAATTCCATAATGATCAAGACATCTTTGGTATGATCAAACTAGGAGATGACGATGTATGTTACACAAGTGGTACTATTGAATGGGTAGGTCGTAAACGAAGCTTCCCATTGAATAGTGGTTTTAAAATTCTTAGTCACAGAGAGACAAGCGAGCCGTTCTGTAAAAGAAAGAAACAAGTTGAGAATGAAACTTATATCAGTGGAGTTAACAAATTAAAGGAGTGCGATTGTGCTGATGTTTTACCAACTGTGAATGCAATTGTGGATCATCTTAATGCATTACATGAAGCGGTGGATCTTGTTGATTTACGTCTCAACACATTGGAGGAAGCCGTGAATCCCAATTAATTAATATATTAATTTTGACAAAAATAAATAAAATTGATATATAAAAATAAATATTTATTTTAAAAAATACTGTTTCATATATTTATGACAAAGACCTTCTTTATATGACTTTATATTAATAAAGCTGACATAGATAAATGATAACACTAAAACTGGCTTTAGCAGTACAAAATTATCTTTATACATAATATAATCTGATGACTCTTTAGTTACAACATTAATAATAATGGTAATAATTCAATATTCTTTTAATCATAAACATGAATCCATAACAATATTTCATAATTTACAAGTTGTACATTATGTACATTAATCATAGTCAAGTATAACAATAACTTTTACTGTGTTCCAACATATGATGTCTTTTTTCCAGTTTTCTTTATAACTTCAAGCAGCTGATCAGCGCTGAGAGTTGATGTAACTGATACTTTTTGTTCTGGAAGGGAGATTAAGACGTCATCAACCCCTTGTCCTTTTAATCTGTTCAATACTCTTTCGACGGCACCTGAGCAGCCCTCGCAAGTCATTTCTACGTTAAAAATATGTGTCTGCAAAAAAAATAATACTGTAACTCCAATTTTATATGTAACTGATTATTATTAGCATTATTACTAGTATTTGAATAAAAATATTGTTAACATTTCAAAAAGAGACTAAATCAAAACAAAGTGTCAATATTAAGAGAATTATTAAATTGTACTTACCGAAGACATAGTTCTTTATTATTTACGCCAGGCCCAACTACCGAAGAAAAACTTTCAATATTTTGTGTTTGACCCTATACCTGATATTTTATTACGTTATCTTATAAGATAAACTTATCTAGACTTTGAAGGGAGGTAGTAGGTACGTAAAAAAGTAGTGTACACTGTACACGTAAGTCATAAGTTCATTGACCTTATAACTAAATGAGTACTCGCTGAAAAATTGCAACTATTTCTGATTTTTTACAAAAAAGGGTAATATTAATTTCATTTTAACTAAAATGCGTATTTCTTCTTAATTCGTTAAACACAATAAATATTATAGTCTATTTATTTTATATACTCTGCCGGCTCTGTCGGGTCTTATAAAAAGACTGTCTGAAAGTTTGACAATTAAGCAAGTGGAATACGGTGTGTCTTCAAGGATTTAAAATACAAAATTTGGTTATTTATTCTTTATACAAATGAAAACATGACACTCAGAGAGGACTTAAAAGAGTTGGGCTGGTAATTAATATTTTGTAAATAATTACAGTATAATTGTATCTTATAATGTTTGTTTTTTAATATTTCGGTGTTACTACTTTACTACTTTTAGGCATTTGAGTGAAGAAGGTATAGATATTATAACCGAAAACGGACAAATAGAAGATGTAAATATTTTAAGTAGGAGAGCTATAGATGTGAGTAGAGTAAAAAATATTATTAACGTGTATTTCACGTCTAAAGACAATCGATCTTCCCACACATTGGACGTTTTGAATACTTAAATGAATTCTTTGCTATTTCAGTTTGATTTAAGAGATATTGGGGATGGAGCATTTCCCGAGGATTTTCCTAAAGATCCATCAAAATTAGAGAAACCAATAGTTGTACAAATACAAAAGATAAGAAATGTTGCTGCACCAAAGGCTAATGAAGAATCAACATCAGCCCCTCGAATGCTTAAAATGATTTTGCATGACGGGAGATCAACATGTGTAGGTTTGGAAACAAGTCCCATTTCAAATCTTAACATAAATACTCCCCCGGGTACCAAATTGTTAATAAATAATGAAGAGTTGGAAGTGTGTCATGGAGTTATCTGGCTAAAACCAGATGTCATCACCATGCTTGGTGGCAAAGTCACTCATATGATAGAGAAATGGGAACTTAATAGAAGTCTAGCGAAACATACTAGAGGTGAGTGTGAAATAGTAACAACTTCTTATAAGAAAATACATTTTTAATACATTACAATATTTTGAGTACAATTTTAATATGCACTTTTTATTACATACTTATTAATATAAATATTATTACTTATTAGGTTTAAATAGTTTATACAATTTATATGTATGTAGAAGTATAGTAGTATGTTGCAAATAATTCACAATCAGTGTCTGTGTAACATCTGTGGCAACTGTAAAAGTATAATTTCCATAATACATATATTTTATTAAAAAACTATTTATTTGATATCTAAATAAAAGTAATAATAATCCAGTATTATTGTGATATAGAGTTATATATAATAGAACCCCTTAACACAGATTTGGATAATTTTTTAAATTGTTTTCTTTCCCATTCCTTCTAACACAACATTATATGTCTTCATATATTTCATCTTAATAAATACATATGTATTTATTAAGATGATGATTACTGATTACTGATACTGATGATTACTGATATCAGTAATCAAAGTAATGTTAACTTAACTTCCCTTAAGCTAATTTGAGATAAGAATACTATATATGTATACAGGGTGACTGGTGAATTACTATCAATATTTAAGGAGAATACTCGGTACATGATTCTCATTCGAATTATGTAAAAAAAATTGGTACTTAATTTTTGACTAAATTTCCGTATAAATAAATAAAGTGTGGACACGTTCCAAGTGTTCCATGTGTGGACGCGTGCGGCGGAGTGCTGATACAACACCACGCCACCGCACGCGTATGTGTGTGTGTGTGTATACTTAATCTGTAGGGTGTTCACACGATGCGTAATTAATTATATAACTTTTGGTTAACTTTACTTAGAAGTTTATTAATATTTATGTTATATTAATTTTTATTTTGTCATATATGATCGTCAAATATCACGTCCTCAAGTATCGATAGTAATTCACCAGTCACCCTGTATATTCTTAAATTAGTGGATATTGTTTATACTTCAGGTGGCATAGGAGTAGATGGTGGCCCACCGCCATGGATACCATTCGGACAGAGACTGGAGGTTTTGCCTATTGATAAACAATTTAAAAGCATACAAGACTCATCCAAACAGGACAATGCTGAGTTTGAGGCCCAAAGAAAAGGAGCTATTGCAGAAGCTCAAAGGATGTCAGGAGTTAAAAAGGTTAGTCTTCTTTATTTACAACTGTGGGTTTTAATGTTGGATACAGCATTCAGATAAAGTGCTCATGCTGATAAAATAATAATTATTGAAGCCTCATTCTAATAAACAAGCAGGAAAAAGAAGTCCTATGATTAATTTTTATTAATAATATTGAATTAAATTTCTTCTTAAAATTCCAGGTCTTTGGTGGTGGTACTAAACCGCTGTTAGATGCGAATGTGCAAAAGATCGTTGATGCCGGTTTTTCTGAAGAACAAGCTGAAAATGCTCTGAAGTACACAAAGAATAATCTAGACAAAGCATTGAGAATATTACAAAAAAGGGATAACTCAGAAAACAGAAGTAAAGATAAAGCAAAGGAACCTGATTCCTCTAAAAGAAAAGGTCGTAACAAGGAGCCTAATGACGAAGATGTAGTTCCTGTTAAACCTTCGGGAAAAGTTTCGCTATTTGACTTCTTAGAAGATAAATTACCAAATGTACCAGACAAAGATAAGAATAATCGTCGCGAATATAACACGCCGTCCGAAGATAGAGGCGAGAGGAGTTATAACAGCAGGGAAAGAAATAATAATAAAAACAGTCGCTCGCACGGTTCAAGATACGAGGGCCCGAGACATCGGTCGGATAGAGGACATAACTCCCATGATAACTATCACAGTTCACACAGGGAGGAAAGAAAATATCAAACACAGAACGAGAAACCACCAAGGTTCCAGAAGAAATTAGAAGAGAAGAATAAACATCAACAACAACAACAGGCAAATAATTTTAATTTACATTACAATAACGCTTATCAGAATCATCCCAATCAGTATCCCGAAATCAATATGCGGCATGACACGACTTTCAATGACAACCATATGAACCAACAGCAAAACTATAGAAATAACATGAACACAATGGATAACTTGATTGAGGCTACTGCAAATCTAAATCTACTATCGAATCAAGCTAGGCCTAATGAAGAATTATCGCCAGGTAGGGGCTACCAGGCACATCCAGAGCTCTATAGCCAAAAACAAGCCTACATTTCTAACCAAAATTTGCAAGAAATACCACCATTTAGGCGGAATAATGATATGACGTATCCAGAACACTATCAGCGTCGACAACAGCAACAACAGCCCAATGGTTACATGGAACAACAGAATCCAATGTATTCTAATATGAACTACATGAACCAGGGTTACAACGGCCGGCAGTACAATTATGGGGCCCGTCAGGAGTATAGCGGTCTTCGTACCGGCGGGCCATTCTTACCTGGTTCTCTGTTAGGCTTCCAGAATGCAGCTGTCAATGAACAGGCTCGGGCTATGCTGGGCGTAGCGGATATTAACTGGAAGGTTGGCGACAGATGTCTGGCTCTCTACTGGGAAGACAATAATGTTAGTTTTGACGTTTAAATTACAATCTACTCACAATTTCTTTAAGTAATTTTTCATTTTACACTAAAATTTTCTGTTGTTAATCGTTAATATCATACGAGTTTTTGCATTCCAGATTACAATTCATAATAATAATTGAGATATATATTTCTTGTTTCTATGTGTGTTTACTTTTACTATCTTGTTTCGATGGCTTTGTTTTATTACATTATACAGTTTATTTTATTAAAAATATATTTATTATTAATATTCGTTTCAGTTTTATGAAGCGGAAATAACGGGTATATCCGCGAACACGGTAGTGGTGAAGTTTTGTGCGTACGGTAATCATGAGGAAGTACTGAAATCTAACTGTTTACCTTATCCTAACCAGGGTAAGTAAACTCAACGATGTAAGTTATATTTAATTTATTTTTTATTTTATTAACTATATTGTTGTTTTTTTTTTACGTTCATATATAATTTTAGTCACCCCAATATAAAGCCGATGTTTTAATCTTACTTCAATATATTTGAATATACTCTAAGTGGAAACTCAGTATGAAGTTCAGTCTCCTAGTGATGGTGATACTAATGATTCCTGTTCGTTTCCAGGAGCGGGCGGCTTCTCCCGCGGCGTGTTCGCTCGGCGGCCGTAGTACCCGGCGGCGGCGGCGCGGCCCCGCCTCCAGCCAGTCGGCCGGTGACGTCACCCGACGCCCCTACCAAGAGTCGCCTTCACGTTCGAGTTGACACGTATTAGGGGAAAAAAGTCGACCCGGTCGGCGGAACGTCTTATTTTAATTAATGTAATGTAATGCTCCCGTACCATTCACATGTTGAACTGAGGTTGTAGTTTTTTTCATTCTGTCTCGTGATGTCGCCGACATCGATGTATTCGTGTCGGCGCGTTTTGTTGTCATGTCGGTTGTTATTTAACAAAAATATTTTGTATTCAACAACGAAATTATTTGTATTGTAAACGACTGGTGACTCGAATTATAAAATTTGTGCAGTTCTAAGGCCTTAATGCTGTTATCATAAATAAAAGAAGACAGGTGCAAGTCTGGGTTATCATACAATTGTTCCTTAGCAAACGGAAACCGAAAAAACAAGCCCAATTTAATAATTCCGAGAATATATTGTTGAAATTAAAATTCTCAATATTCAAAAGATCAACAGTGTTCCGACAGTGCTGAGCCGTGGTGATATACCAATAATTTTGTTATGTAACTAAAAGTGCGCGACATTTTATCTTGCCAAATTCTATAAATCTAAATCAACGAGAATTTTCAAATAAGATCTGAATGCCTTGAGTCGAATTGTGCACAGAAAGTGAATTTTAATATTTTACTGACCATAATCCTAGAAAAGAAGTATCCTAACCATTACATATTAACACTTATTAATAATGTTTCTTCAGAGGTAATATTGATGACAGCTCAAAGGCTTTCACTCACGTTAATAATTAATTAACTTAATTTTCTCAAAAAAAAAAAAAACAAAAATGCCCAATAACTCGGAACTTTCTGGAATAATGTTATAAGGTGTTCATTAACTTCTCCATAATAAAATCATATTGAGACAATGCAAACATCTTACTGTGCAGCAGACATCGATTCCAGTTACAATACAAACAGCGTGTTCAACAAGCATTTCATTATACATGGTGTTGAATGTTATATTTTCTCTATTATGTGATAATCGTCTATTTATCTTACATTTTAATCGATGGTTTAGTGTGAAGAGCTATAATTATGTGGATAAGCTCAATTTCATAAAAACATAATAATAGTGTAAGCTCAAACTTTAATATTAATTTTTCAAATATAAATATTAAATGTGCTGTGGTAATGTTATTGATATTATATGATGGATTGTTTCCTTTGATGTGATTCACAAGTTTTGACAAATAACGAATAAAGTATTCAAATATTTCACATGTGGGTATGTTGAAAATGTGAAAAAGTATATGGATTCAACAGTGCCGGCGTTAGGAGGGGGCACGATGGGGTGACGGCCCAGGGCGCCAAATTTGGGGTGGGGGGACGATTAATGGAGGTAGGATATTTATAAATGAAAAAAAATAAAATAGTAGCTACATAACTTTCTACGTCCACGTCGTTAGCTCTGGGTCACGCTAAAGGAAAGATGGAAGATGGTAGATGGAATATAGAATTCTTAATACACTTTCAGTGTTCACATTGGTTCAGAAAAGAATTAATACTCGATTATGATTTCTTTAAGTGGGCGCCAAAATATTCTTGCCCAGGGTGTCAGTCCCTCTAACGCCGGCACTGGGATTCAATTTGATTGTAAGTTAATTATATTTGAACAACAACATAATTACAACAGAATGTCAGAGACATGTGAATTATATCTTTGGAAATATGTAGTTAACCTTAAATGTATGAAAATATACAAAAATGACTAATTTTAGATCTGAATGCAAGATGTACTGTTATTTGTGCAAAGTCCTACAATGTCGTGAATACACGTGCACGGTCGTGTATACACGTGCATGTTCGTTTATACTTGTGTATATTCGTGCAAACTTGTTACATACACTGTTGATTACAATATCTGTTGTTCCTCGTGTGCTTTACTTTAGTTACCACTAAATGTAGCTGTAGGTGTGGCTTTATAAAAGGTCTGGGACCATCTCGTTAGTAATTATAACGGGCAAGGATAAGTCATCTAAAGATCTAAGTGAACTAATATCCACTAATCCTGCACAGTAATATGTTTAATTAAGAACGATGTTATGCATCATCGATGGTATTAAACTGGAATTAGTTTTAACGTTCATTAATTAATTTATTGTCAGGTCATGTATGTAACCATAATAGTAGTGTAGCTTGTATAAGTGTATTTTGTTATATTTCTAGCGCAAAGTGTATAATATATAAAATATATTTTGTTTTATTTTTTACCAAAATATAGTTTGTTTTCTTTAACTTATCTATTGTAAAGATTGTATAGTCATAAATCAACGTTCATTTTATAACGTATGTAGATATGTCAATACGAATTTTGCTTTTTTATAAAATAATATGTTGGCAATGATTTTCAGTTAAAGTAGATACCGCCTCCACAGAGGCCTTAACATAACTTAATAGGATGTTAGATAATGACCAAAGCTCAAGTATCAATAATTTGTTAGTTTGTGTAAAGCTTTCGATACATTTATACTGATGTTATGTTCAACTAACAGTTTATAACTTGAAGGCCAATAAAATACATTTTAATTAACATATTATTTTCATTACATAAAAAAATATAAGTATTAACATATATTTTATTAATAACCGCCTTTCAATATCCTATTTCCTTTAAATAAATCCGTGAATTATAATATATAAAGATACATGTCGCAGAAATCTATAATATATAGAGTTGAAGTTATTAAAACTACTAATCTAAGTAGGTTAATCTGGAAGTGAACTAGTACTCAAAGAAAAATATAGGAGTCGTAGTAGCGATGTGTTTGGTGGGGAGTTACTCGTTTGACCCGCGAGTTGTTACACAAACCAGTTGTTATGGTCGCCTCGTCAGCGACTGACTTGTTCGGGGCCATTTGTCAATGAACTCACGCCAAAATTACGTTAGCTGTGGGAGTTATGGTTAAGTGAAACTTGGAAGATCGTTTATTTTGCAACTTTATTACATAAAGGTGAGATTGATAGAAATTATATACGACGGAATGTTGATGTTTTAACAAAATGCGAATTTATATACGAATACAACAACAATTAATGTACCAAATATGTTTATGACGCGCGACCGGTGTTATCGCTTTAAAATAGTGAGACCGTTTATTAGAACATTAAAATTTATTTACTATAAAAATGCACGATCTGATGCAACTTTCACTTAGATATCATCTAGAGAAGGGATCAAATGGACCTTGCGTTATATCGGCGCTGCCTTGAAGCGAACGTCCGCAGGTGCGTTAGCGTAATGTGTAATATAATGTATGCACTAAGCATTACTATTGGTTCGTGACACACATATCACTGCGATTCAGAAAAACGACACCGTACAAAACAATGCCTGGTGCTGTGTAGGTCGCTGGAGCTACTTAACACTTAGATCACCTCCATAAATACTGTAATATAAAAACACTTTTTTATATAATATGTAGGTGAAACTTATAGTCACGATCCAATTTACCGTATTTTATATTACATGGTATTATATAATTTAATAATTGAAATTGAATACCGGGCTCATATTTCATTAATCTATTTGTTTTATAAGAAAAATAAAGCTAAAATAATAACTAAAATAAATCTAGCAGTTTATTGAATGGTGTTATAAATAATTTTAGATTGCACACACATTCTCTTCACATTCACATTCTCTTTGTAATCTTAAAATTACAATTTCCTCTAACAAATCATCATATTACTTTTAAGCTTTGGAGCTATATACATATTATAGACCAATAAAATAGTGACAAATCACTATTTCCAATATTTATCTTATTAATATAAAGCACGAGGGTTTTTGAAAAAGAAATAGCATCATAATAAACAATTAATATATTATATAAAAAACCACATAATTCAAACTTTCTTGAAGTATAATTTTACTTGTCATATTTGTGACCTTAACCTTCTCACATCATTAACAAGGAATTAATTAAATTATGATCTTGCACTATTTTGTTAAATGACAATATTAATATGTCCATCTACCCTCGATAATATTATAAACTGGTCTTTGTTATATTGATAGCAGGAACACTTACACGTTTAATCTAAAACAAGTTATGTTATAATTAAATAAAAAATGAATGACGTTTTTATTAGAAGACTACATGTTAATCCCCGAAATGTGAGAGCACAGAGTAAACAAAGTCACGCACATTGGAGGTAAGAAAAGCGCGGCATTCGAGATTATTTGCACATAATATATGTTTAAAAGTCAAACAATATAATAATAATGTTAAAACAAGTTTATATATTCTACGATATCTAACATCAAGACGCATGTTAGCAAATCTTGGTGTGAACAATTTAATGTGTATATTAGTCCTACGTCGAAGTGATTTTCTTTCAAGGTAATTTCAGGAGTGTGGCAAATCTAGATTGTCAATTAAGAAATACAATCCTTTTTTTGTATGATAGATCGAATAATATTTGGATATATGTAAAATGATGATGAAATAAGAGGAAGTTGAATGTATTTATTAATTGCGTATGACTTTTGGAACCGCAGTTTTTAACTTTTACAGGTATCGATATTTGATTTCAGAGTAGCCATGGCGATGGGGGGTGCGATGGATAGCTGCGGTCGCTGCATGAAGATCTCATTGGTGGCAATGAATGTTTTAACATTTGTAAGTTAACACAAAAAAAAAATAGTTTTACTCAAGTGTTCACATTATTTCTGAACGTCCAATAAAAGTTTTCAATAACTTAAGAATAAATAAAACTATAGTACATAATAAAATGGTAACAGTAATTATTAATTTTGTATTTAATTTACTCAGCTGGGGGGCGTGCTGGCTCTGGGTATTGGAGTATGGATCTGGGTGTCGCGATCCTTCCCTAGTACGCTCATGAGCAACAATATGTTCATAGCGTCAGTTGCTGTAGTGGTGGCGATGGGAGCCGCAGTCATGATCCTATCCTTACTGGGTTGTTGCGGCGCTGCTAAAGAAGTCAAGTGTATGTTGCTTACGGTACGTTTCACTTTTAAATATCTTAGGACTCCCGTTTTTATTTAATTCGAACATTAAAATGTTCTACATATAGCAGGAATTGCATATAGTTATAGAACTCCGTCAAATAAATATGTTAAAATATATTACACCATTATTTGAGAACTCTTTTAAAGGCAGGACGTCTTTATCCAATCATAATAATCGTTTATGATATAGAACGTCGACTTTGCAAATTATATGAAAGTCATCTTCCATCAATTAATAAGGACAAAGTTAAAATATAAACATCTATAACAATAATAGTGTTAAATATATTGTATCTGTTCCAGTATTATATTCTAGTGTTCATAATCTTCGTGGTGATGCTGGTGGGCGGGATCCTCCTGTTCGTGTTCAGGGTCAAGGTGCTTTCTACTTTGGAGAGAGAGATGCACGCGTCCATCCCCAACTACGGTACTCGTCGTGAGTACACGCGCGCTTGGGACGAGACTCAGACCAAACTGCAATGCTGCGGCGTCAAGAGCTACAAGGACTGGAATGACAATGTCCCTGAAAGCTGCTGTGTTGAAGTTTATCCTGGACAGGTCAGAACTGATACAGAACCATCACCACCATCCATTTTAAGTATTAACGATGATAGTTCAACTAACATTTGACATTTCCATGAATAAACGATGGCGTAAAATTTATTAATTTAAGTACATATTCGTTTATATTATTTTAATCATTTTTAAGACTTTTAAAACCTGACTTTATTTCTTGTTTGATAGTGTACATTGTACAAGTGATCGTAGTCATTAAATCTTAATTTAGAAAGTCAAATTCATTTTATATTTAGTCTACTACCTCTTAGTAGGCAACAGACTCCCTATAAAAAAAAATTGGGTTCAATAAAGTGAAAAAAATACACTATTTCCTGCTTAAAAATTATATATACATATATCTCATTAATTTTCATCACCTTCTGATTAACAGTATGCAATTTTGTTATTCGTTTAACATCTGCCTGTATGTATTATAAAAGTCGCATTAAACATTTCAGAGAAGAGATTGCAAGTATTCACAGAATCCAACTACGATGTACATGGACGGTTGTTTTAATAAGACTGTAGACTTATTAAGAGAGGATGCGGCCTATGTTGGTACTGTCGCTGTTGTGGTGGCCTTAATTATGGTAAGGAATTATATGTACGAACGAGAAACAATAATATAAATTAATAAACAATAATAACATAAAAAAATTAAATGCGTCTTGTCAGGCATTTATTTTTGGAAAAAAGTTTTTATTCCTATCAATAGTTATGTATCGATTCGGTGGTTGTATTTGTATTATTAATTATAGTTAAGCTTTTTGGTTTAATGATGCTTTCTTTCAACTTCCAGGTGCTGGCGCTAATATTTTCCTGTGGTTTGTTCGTTAAAATAGAGTGACAATACAGCGTATCTGTTACGATTTGAACATAAATGTCAATTATTGACTGTCGGTTGATTGTCTTGTACGAGCGTCAGTCATTCTGGCCTCGTACTATGTATTACATTAGTTAATTTATTTTCTAAATGTAGATAAACATTTGAAATAAAATTTATACTGATTTTCAATAAAATGGTTTTAATTGTATCCATAAAATATAAAAAAATATAACGAGTTATCAAAATTGTTTCAAATTAAAATTATATATAAGTCAAGATCTAAATGTTTTTGAAAAACGGGCTTTAGATAATTGAGGTACTTGATTCAATAATACTACTTTTTAGCTTTTCTCCTCGGCGGAAACTTGATAGTATTGGGGTTGCCATCTCTGTATTGTCCGCTACGTGTAAACCAGCCACAGTTGCGTATAATACAGTCGGAGGTGGTAGTGCCGAGTGGCAACCCTAAAGCACTGATACGTTCGAGGGCTTGAGTTGGACCCGCGATAATCTAAGTAATATAAAAATATATCAATTTATACAACTTTTTATGAAAAACGTGACGCATAACTTACTCTTCCAAAGACGACATGTTTTCCGTCAAACTGAGGTAGAGGTTTGAAAATTATATTGAACTGTCCGCAAACTTCATTGTCTGGTGTGACTGCCATAGACATTACTCCTGTTATTGTATCATGTGAAATTTGTAAATAAAAATACAACGGGTAAGACAAATATTTTTAAACCAAATGAGTCACAACATAAATAATCGTAATACCTGGTACAGTGTGATTTAATTTAAAGTTCTCAGCTGTCATCAGTTCTACTTCACCTTCGGGCAAAAAACAACCAAAACCATTGTCTTTGACGACGTCACCTCCACGACAGTATAGATTCGGTACAACTCTACGATTAATTACATTATGGTTAGGTACATTACTCATTTGGTAAATTTTCACCCATGTTATATAAAAGAAGCAGTTGAAACACCAATAACACTATTAAAAACATCAGAAATTACAATAATTTATGTAAAATACCAAAGAAAGATTATTTTTTATTTCAATTATATCTAAACTAATTCCCAGCTGTACCTGCTTATTTTATAGATAGACTTAAACATTATGTTCATCCATATTGAATTTGGTCAAGTTTAGACGAAGCAGGGAAATGTTTTATTTTAAACAAACAGATTATGTACGATAGATTTTGGTTTTTATATAGTTTTGTCTGTATCACTTATTGTGCATCATAAAAAAAGATAGAAAGCAAGTGAAGTTTGGAGTTTTAAATTGGTTTGGGATGTGTCAGTTATGTCTTAAATTAAAGAAGACATCTTGCAAAGAATGCAACATCTTGCAAAGAATGCAGCAATCTGTAATATAAACCAAATTGCGAACATATTACATAACCGTGACAAACATAGGAAGGAAAGATTGGAAAGGAAATTTTTAATTTCGCTAAGTTTAATTGTTTACCTGAAAAACCTGGTCCCCATGTACGCGTGTCCTCTGGAATCACCTTTTAAAAGACTAAGGAATAATTGACAAGTTTTAGGTGCAATTTCATTGAATAATTCAGCAATAACACGTCCGATCTTTGAGCCTCCGACAACCCAAATGTCCAAAGACACTCTGAAAAGTTGAAATCAGTGACCAGCTATTGACAAGAACACCAGTTCCGATTAAAAAATGTGCTATATGATTTTAAATTATAACCTTGCAAAAGGTAAATTTACACGCATTTGTAATATTGACGGGATAATAAAATGTAATTAACTAGATTTTTGCTTTATTTTTTCTCAAGGAGCTCAAGGTCAAAATGAAACAATACATGTGCACTTATCAATCTTTGGAAAGAATACATACTTTTTCGTCTATATTATATCTGGTGCGCAGATGCATACTCAGATGTACAAAACGATGTATAAATTTACTAATGTTCCGTTTAGTAATAAATTGTCTGGTCTTCATTGAATATACTTATATAAAACAATATATTTAATTGATGTCGATTTTATTAAAATTATCTTACTTTGTACGGTTTACATTTGGTGGTTTGTCGAAAGCAGGATCTCTAATATCACGATCAATTTTCTCAGTTTTGAAAAGAATAAATGGAAGCCTAAAAATTTAAAAGTTTTATCTTAATATCAATTTGAATATGAAAACTAATATAGTTAAGAAGAAACACCTACGATGCACCCAATATAAGTTTATGCTTTGTATCCTTCCACGCATCTTCCAGTTCTTTTGTGAGAGGTTGTTCCGATCTCTAAATTTTAAAACAAAAACGGAAAAATGTTTTTTGACTTAAATTATATATTTTTTTGTCAAACGTTCTCGATAAAGTTTATACAAACCGCTATAAGAAGCCTCGAATAAAAATACAAGTTTTGTTTTCGTATTTCATCCAAGACACGTTGTCTTTGTTTACACAACAGCTTATTGTATGTGTCCGTAGGCTCGGGGTACATCCAGCAATCCACAAAACCCTAAATCGGATTTATTTATTGCACAAAAGTTATAAACTTTTTTTTAATATAATATTCCAAAGTTTCATCGACTTGAGCATACCCCAGTCCTTTGTATGAGATTAATTCGTTTGAGCAATTCTTTATTAACGTTCATATTTTCTTCCAACTGACGAGCGTAGTAGTTGAGCCTTCGAGGCTTCAAATATAATTCAGGAAAAAGTTCCGGCGGGTGATCGTCCACCTTATGCTTAGACATTTGCAGCTGAAATATTTTAGGTATTACTTACAAGAGAACACAATGTTGATACTGAACCAAAGTTATACGCACTTCTTTTTGATGATTGCACCATGTTGCATAAAAATCTTTAGAAAGCAAGGGAAACCTTGGCGGCTGAAACGTTTTATGACGTAAGAGCAAGTTAAGTTTCTTATATATATTTAACATTTTATTAAGTTACTAACAAGTTTAAATTCCCTTGGTTTCCGTACGCGAGGCGGTCGTGGCCTCTCTGGTTCGGGTGGTGGAGTGCGTAGTAAAGGATGTTCTAGCAAATGGTCACATGCTCTCTCTCTCAGTGGATGCATCTCTAAAACAGCTTAAATGATGTTATATATAAAAGATCAGTATTATATGCAAAACTTGACATTTCCTTTCCTATCGATATTCGTAATAATTTTATCAATTAAGTATTATATGAAAATTGAGATTAAATAAAAAAGTTGTTTTTGATAGTAGACATTTCAACTAATAACTCTAAAAATGACATCCACATAATACTTCTTTTGGCTTAACAAATATAGAAACTTATTATTTATATTTTATTCTTCTTAAATCACTTTAGGGATAAGAGTTATTTTAAAAAAATCATTAAGGTGTATGTTAACGTTAAGTATGATTCGTTTTATTCTCATGTAATTGTTTTATATCAACTTTATGAATTTGCTTCCACTGTTAATAATTACGATAAAAATCAATTACCAAAAATCGATAATTTACTCAAGATCATTCTCCCCTAAATATCTTTAAAAAATATATGTGTGTTATTATGGTACAATCCTTGGAAAAACACGACATCTAACTAAATTTGACTATAAAAAAAAAAACTTCCAATTTAGCTGCTGGATACACACCCAGATACACACTCATACAAACAATCACATGCAAATAATAATTTTATCATACTAGTCTCTTTGTGCAAGTGACTAAATATAGGAGTTCATTTTGAATGTAAAATGTATAAATAATGAGGTCTAAGACTTTTGCGAGTTTTCAGACATTCACATCTCGTCTGCCCGTGAACACGGTTGCTGAAAAATCCGAAACTAATTTAAAAAATATACTCATACCTATGTCCTTAAAAGTTGAAAAAAAACAATAATATGAACCTGGTTTTGATTGACCTAATTTCAAATTATTTTACTACACACGCCTTTTTGGAAATTGAGAAATTGGGATTTTGAGTTGGTACAGAAAAAGGGATATGGGCTACCAAAACTCGAATCGTAATAGTCTCCGAAAATATACAAGTAGTGAAACATATTTTCTTAGATTTGTATCAGATACATTAAACCTTGTTTTGAGATTTCGATTTTATTTTAGTAAAATTGGATGATAAAGAAAATTCATAAATTTTTTATTGCATAAGGTGAAGTTAATGCATAGCAATATTTGTAGGAACCTAAGTTCACGAGGACGAAAATACGAGTAATTCTAGATATATCTCAAAACTGAGCATACGGAATATATCAAATAGGTATAATCGGAGGTGCTTTTAAATTCTTCCATTTTGTAAATTTTTTTTAATATACTTTTGTCATTATTAAAACTATAATAATCTTCTTATATATTATTATTATGAATAAATTTGAAACAAATGAAGCAATTATAAAAAAAAATATTCGGTGTGTGACGGTTAAAGTCATTTATTGACGTACATTTTTTAATAAAAACTATATCAATTAAAAAGGAAACAGAAATATTAGCATCATGAAGAGCAGCTCATTAGTATTATTTGTTTGTGCTGGTCTACTGCTTGTAAGATATTACATTATTAATGAATAGACGCAGTATATATAATAATATGTTTCTAACAAATTTTATGAATAATTTTGTTTGTAATTAATGAATTATTAGAGTGGCGGTGCTATTCTCGGCGGTTCAGCGACGTGGAGTCTCATGCGTATCTCTTACTACTTCTGGACCACTGATCTTGGAGTCGAGTTGGGCTCCAGTGTACTGTTTATCGCCGGAGCTCTGTTATGTCTTCCCACGTGTTGGCTGTGCACGCTCGTGCCGTACCATCCTAGGTCCATTTCGCTTTTGGCAAGCGTAAGTAACATATTTCATAATGATATATTTAGAAAAAGAATTAACTTTTCTTTATAATAAATATACAATAGAAACTAAAGAAAAAATTATAAAATAATTGAGATACATTAATAATTATTTGGTTATATACCTACTCTATTATTAATATGGGTCAGTAAAAATAAAATGACGGCAAGTCATTTTTTTTTTGTGTTATAATTTACCCTTTACAAGGATTAATTTTGTAAAAGCAGACTTAGAAATTCTTTTTTTATTTATCCATAGTATTCTTAATATTAAAACAATGAAAAATGTTGCTATAACCTTTGACATTTCACAATTTTAATTTCGGTTTTGTCAAAAAGAAATTTATAGTTTTGTTCATAAGGATCAGCTACTAAAAATGTTAATCTTATTGTTTTTTCTGTCGAATTATAAAATAGCTACTTTTTGCTTGTAAATTGAAATACTTAACTTTAGACCTTCCTCACGTCCAAGTGTTTTCTGGAATTCTAAGAAGGCCGTTTAGCAAGATGTCTGTAATTTAATCTACATATCTTGTGTTCACTGGGACGAATATATAGATATTTTTCTCACATAAAGATTTGAGGAATCCTCACCTTTCCGATTTTTCGTACCATTTATCAAAGATACCTCTAATCTAATTTTTTTCAATTTTTGTTTTGACCTTGCTAGTTTCGGATACATTAAATTTATAAATCTACTTTATGCTCCCCCATATTATTAAGGCTAAACACAAAATTTTTGATTCTTATATGTTTTTAAAATGCCTGCTTCTGAACATCTCCTTGTTTATTATATGAAAGTACATAATTATTCCAGTTGATGATACTCGTGACGTCGGGTCTGATGTTGCTGTCCATAGGGATTTCTTCTATCATGGGTCTATCCCGTGCTGTTAGAGAGCAGCACACCTTAAACACTACAATGTTGAGGACAATGGCGTTTGAACCAGTTGACATAGCTGTTAAAAGTGCGTTTGCTTCGATGCAATTAGAGGTTGGTAGTGCTTGGAGTGGTGCAATGAATTATTAAAATTGTTATTGTATTTGTCTGTTTTTTCGAAAACGGTTTGAAAAAAAATCATCAAGAACAAATTACATGTATAACTTAGTAATTAGATTGACTGAAGTTATTATTTGCTAAATGTAAAGTCATTAAAAATGTTTAGTTAAAATGCTGCGGTGTCAATTCTCATGCTGACTGGTATCTTCATCGCAATACACTGCCCCTCGCATGCTGTGGGCGTGTTGGGATAGGAAAGGTAAGCATCATTACTTTGTTATATACAATTAGTTGAGTTGTATTTAACCTTCTATATTTCTTAACCCTTATTGCAAATGCAAGTTAAAAGATAGATATTCAGTTTTCATTTAAAAATCTTTGCTTATGATAGTATCATATCAACGAAAATGAACGAAAAACTGAAAAAGGATTTAAAAGTATAATAAAAAGTCGTGGTTAGGATAGCGTTGTTATTATGCAAAATAGTTTTGATAGGAATTCTATGAATCTGTTGTCTTTATATGTTCTATAACAATTATAAAATGAATTGGTAGCCGTATTTCATCTAGGAAAATATGTTTGATTACATAAACATTACTTTATTGTAATAGTATATTATTTGTATATAGAACACCGATCATTGTGAAATACCATTATACAATCGTGGATGTTTAAGACCAGCGCGGGCTGAACTCCGCATGTACGCCAACTCTCTCGCCGTGCTAGCTTGCGCGATTATTTTGGTTAAGGTATCTTGTATATGAAGTATTATATGTAATTTAAATTTATTTTAAATGCGGATCCTTAATTTGGAACCTCTATTTACACAGTTTTTGGGAAGCCATTAAATATAAACTAAATTGACTACAGTTAATGTAAATTTAATTTTTACAATAATGTTTAGGCAAAGTAAAAGAGTTGAATTTATTCAAACAGATACATATATATATATACTGTTGATAGATTTTTGTTAATTTGATGGAATTTATTGGATTTCTTTAAAATATGTTAATAAATTCAATGTTTTCTAGGCGGTAGCGTTGTTCGCGACTGTGTATACTATGGTTACGGGTGTAACGGAGCGAAGCGTGGGTGTTAAGCAGCAGCCGCTTCGCATCGCCTACCTCCCAGCCCCCCCGATAGTACCACTCGCCCCACCAGCCCCTTAATACAATCTTCCCCCTATTAGTTATTTACAAATTTTAACATGCACACATTAGATATTTATAGACATGCAAATTGTAAGTATTTCTGATAAAACTAGGGTAACTAAAATTATTTGTACGATTTTTTATACTTAATTCTAATGAAATATACAGTTTTGGAAATAAGTAAGTGTTTATTGTCATACATTTTATTATTATTGACCAGATAATTGATATAGTAACAATATTTATCTTAACCTATGGGTGGGACGACTCATTGAAACGAAATGATTAGGATATCTTTTTAATCGTAATTTTTTGAACACAATACAACATGCAAGCATCAAAATGCTTTTTGAATTTAAGAAACAATCATATCTCTTCTATATTTGGTACCTATTTTTGGTTTTTTCAAAATATTCATGAAAACGTTCTCTATATATAAAGACAAACAGAAACTATAATATATTAAGAAAAAAATATTACAACAGGGGCGCGAACACGCGGGCATGTGCGGGCGTTCGCGGGTTTACCTAAGAAACTTAATATCTACAGGACTATCGAGTTTTGGAACATTAGGCCGCGGAGCGACGACCCGCAGCAGCCCGCGAGTTCGCAACACGCGCCCGCCCCCGACGCGGCGGCACTATACCATACTCACAACAATAGCTACACGTTACATGTCTAAGATAATAATTATAAGCGATCCTAGTCAATAATTTAGAATTCGAAGATTACAGATGCGGTGGGGGCGAGGCGTCGGTCCGTCGCCACAGTCACTCGGCACAGGCACTAGAGCTCGCACGCACTCAGCACGCGACGGACCGAGGCCGGCCGGCCGACGGCACGCCGCTATCATCTACACGATTACTATATATTGCTATGACGAGGATGAACGGTGCGTCGGGCGGCGTGGGGCGCGGGCGCGCCGCTCGCTCAGTTAAGGCCGGGAGCGGGGCGCGCCCGCGGCAATTGGTTAACATTAGGTCTATCTAGAATAAATATGGTGTGCGTGGTCGCTCAGGGCGGCTCTAGCGCCGCGCGCCGCGGTGCTTGCGGTGAGGTCGAGGCGCGCGGCCCCACCACAGCGCCGCCAGGGCCAGGGCCGCCGCCGCCGCCGCGTCTCGCCGGCCTCTGCGGCAACCACACACTCACACACACAGAAGAAACACACAAATAATATCACTATCAACTACCTACACACATTGATACTACCCTCTAGCTTTTATATGTATATGCTTTCATAAATCTTTCAGTAACTACTAGGTAGACTAGAAATAAGTAACGATACAGCGCTATATAGTTATATTGGATAGATTAACTATTTATTACTGGTATAATTTAAAATTAGATTTTGGGAATTATAGTTGTATCGAACTAAATGTGATTTTTCAATTTAACAAGAATAACTTTAAATATCTATCTATATAAGATAGCAAAGATAGTAAAAGAATGAAATTTAAAATACTGATCCATGCTCAAAACATTTTTAAAGATAAGTTTTATGATAATAAAAATGCCATGCGTAATGAAGAGGAGAGATTCGCATGCAATGAAAGGTATACATTGAAATGGAATCTTCGATTTAAATATTATTATAAAATAATTAGCGAAGTGAAGCTTTGTGAAATGAATTTTGCAGCTGACCACTGAATCAAAGAATTTATAAAGCTCTATTAATCATACTGTTTTTATACTGGCCTTTCCTTTTTCTTTAGCAACAGCTCTTTAGATATTTTCCATTAATTTATGTTCATATTTCTTGACAAACTAAATTTTTAATTGAGTTTCAAGATATACGTAATTAGAAATAACAATTTGAAAAATGGTACCTTAAAATAAGCAATGATATGGATCTAATAAATGCACCAATATATAATAGTTTAAATAGAGCTTTAAGGTTTTTGGTCAATTTAGCTTCCTCGGCATGGTATATTAAGTCGAAGATATAGCACAAATAAATGTTAATATAGCATATGAATGAGTAAGAAGAGTGGGGATGGTTACCGATGCACACAACACGCGAGATTGCTCACCAAAGTAGCACACTGCCCGCCCTGCAACAAGCGAAAACTGTCTTCACTTTCACACCAAGCGAACTCGGCCATAGCTTGGTTAGTCATTGATTAAGCGGATTGATTGCAAGCGATTTGTATCGGTAAAATCCGAATGGCCCGGATTGCGGTAAAGCATTACTTACCTTTGAAAACTGGAAATCAGATATTTGGTTATTTTATGGCGTTATTTTGCTTAGTTTCGTTAAAAGAGATAGCATTGTGTAAGAAATCTTGTTGTACGATAAAAGTTTAATAATTTAAAGTTATAAGAAAGGAAAATTGATAATGAGATGTTTTTAGTGTTCTTTGTTTTTCGAGAAGAAAAAAAGATATCTTTGCCGACGAATAGTTTCGCGAATACTCAACCCATTCAACTAATAATAATTTATCATTGTTGTGAAAAGTCAAAAAAATCACTTTTGTTTTAGGTACATTGATAGGACAGAAAGTATTAAATAAAATGAAACCGTAAACAGGCATCCAAAATATTTATTATGTATACACTGATGACGGCTTCTCTGATTGTGTAATCTGATTAATGCCAGACCAGTCTCGTCAATATATTAACGAATACTGATATAGAGCTAATATATCTTTGTATTCGATGAAATAGCCATTTATTTTAAATGAAAAACAGATAACTTCTCTGACCTTTTTTTCACTACCAGTGCCACAAACTCATCATCATGACAACCTTTTTTAAATATTTAGTATGTTAGTGACTTGAGTACTTGATAATATTACGGACTGGTTTTGGTAATTAGAGCTTATATTATCTCGTCATAGAATGCGGGTAGTGAAAGGATTTTTGTTAGTTGTTTCTGTTTGTTGGTGGTCACGTACCTGGCACGTGGGGCAGTGTGGTGGCGCGCAGCCTGCGAGCTCGAGGCGGTGCGGGGTGCGCCAGGGCTCCTCCTCTGCCCGGCTCCTGCTCCCCGGGGCCTCCCCCGTGTCAAAGGCGCAGCACCCGCCGCCATCCTCACACTCGGGCTCCCAGCAGTCCACCTCACCCAGCTGAAAGGGACATTTGATATTATTAGCTATTGAAAAACGTCTATAAAACAACATAAGAAATAATATATTTTAACTTTATAATTTAACATTAAGTACACTTAAAAAAATTTATTGCTAACATTCAAGGTACTTTTTTTGCATATTGCTTTAATTCAGCTTTTGATTATCCTTCGTATTTAATCTCAAATAGACGAAAAAAAAATGATTACTTAAATTAAATATAATCAAAATGTTGAATCACAGAAAGTGTCGAGAACTAAATTGAGATCTTTCATATTATAAACAGGATGGCAAAAATAAAAAACAATCATATGTAATCATGAAGAAGGTTAATGATATATGTAGTAGCTTAAAGTTTATAACGTACGAGGCATTCACATATCTGACACTGGTAGAGCCATCGTTCACCGCTACGGAAGGTCACGTGGTGCATCTCCTGGTGACGGCAGTGGTAACGAGCGTCGCAGTGAGGACAGCACGACGCTGGAGCCAGGGGGATAGACTCCGAGCTATGGAACTAGAGAACAAGAAACGATTTACATATTGGCCGAGATACAGTCTCAAATTTGTTCATCAATGTTCGTCGTTACTTCATATAATGTCTGAACAAAATAGCTGAAGCCAGTATTTATAGTTTTCGAATACATGATGATACTTAAATGTTGCCATTACAAAATTACGATGATTCAGTATTTTAATTAATTATAACCAATCATAAAATATTTCAAGGACTATAACATATTATAATTAGTACGGCACGAAGGGCGTCACTTGTGACAACACATATGATAAGCAGCGAAAATTTTTACTAGTACACTATATTCTAAGCAGAAAACTGAAACGCGATGTACTCGTATATTTTTAACACAGGGAACAGTTATCCATTAAATTCACTGAAGGACTTTGTCTAAAGTCATATCTTTTTCTTAAGCATTCTAAAGTGACACTAATGTCGTTATGTGGTAATATACTTTGTGAGTGATGCACTTATTTTCGCCATATTCATATAACAGATATTCCTCTAGTTCAACTCACAGTGAGCGAGGTGTTGTCAGTATCACAGGAGCACACAGCATCCTCGCAGACGGCCACCCCTCGTGCACACGAACACGCGCGACACCCACCAGCCTCCGACCACCGGCCGCCGTCAGAAACAATACGGCCTTGCCATGAACAACCTTGGGAAGTTAAAGAGCCACTTATTAGTTATAACAAATGTATTTAAATGAAAAAAAAATTACGGGCAGACGAGATCATCACGGCTGCTGAAAAGTAGGTGAAACTTCGGGAGTATGTAGTTATTTTTAAATACAAAGCATACATAGTATACCCGAAAAATATAAGTTTAATTTAAATGAATACAACTCGCGAAAGTTTTAGATCTTATCATAACAAATGCACAATAAAAAACTCTAAGTAAGCTTGATTTTTAATATAGAAAAAGTTAGGCAATATAATTTCAGATTTTTATAGTTCTATTGATGCCTCATATTATAGTAATATAAACCCGTTGATGTTCAAACTAGCCAAGGAAATTTGACGTAGCTGTTTCACTCGTGTATACTGGTAAAATACAAAGGCAAGTTCCTAGATGTACAAACATACATTGTAACTCCAACAACAGTTTAGTAAAACAAAAGGATTAGTGAAGTACTAAATATAATTATTGTAACAATTCATGACCAATATTTTTAAAAATTAATAATCAAATGAGCAATTTTGAGCCCTACTATAAACTTACTCAATTCACAATTTTCTGTATCACATTCACATCTGAATCCTCCGTCCGTATTAACACACCGTGCGCTCGGATGACAAGTATGAAATCCTTCAGCACATTCATCGACATCTAAAAAAATATATATTATTTCTATGGACTCATTATGATATCGTTATGTTATATATCTTTTCATATTTTATATTTTCTGAATCTATGTAATTATAAAATGGAAGAGTTTTGTGTGTGTTCTATATTTTAATCATATGGTTGTCTCTCTCTATATCTTACTGTCTTAAGCACGAGTTACTTTACTTTAAAATACTATAAGTATTTATTTATACATTATATTATTTGGTTAATGTCTACAGTTCGTATAATACATTTACCTTCACAGTGATCTCTATGGGGGTCTCTTCTATAACCGTTTCTGCAGACGCAGTAGTAGGAGCCGGGCGTGTTGACGCACGCGGCTCGCGGCACGCACGCTCTCGGCGCGGCGGGGTGAGCCGCACGCAAGCATTCGTCAACGTCCCGCTCGCAACGAGCGCCGGCGAAACCGCGTGCGCATGCGCAGTGCTCTGGACTGGCGCATACACCGCCGTTGAGACAACCACCGCTACATATAGCTGGAATAGGTACAGAGTATGTGTAAATTGGGATGTTTTAATTACTTTAACAATTATTTAAATTGTATTCAGTGAATTTAAAAAATGATTTAATCTTTTAATAACGTCTTTTGTTAAAGGAATGCTCAGATAGTTCATATGGTTTAATTTCATGATTGAAGTACTGGTTGTCAAAACACAGTGTGACAAAGAAAATATGATTTTATTACTTTTACTTGATACACAGCTTCACTTTTATGACAATGTAATTTAACAGAAAAAATATTTATTTTACCAACAAGCCTCAGTCGAGTTTCTTCAAAATTTCAGCTTGGACAAGTTCAATTGTTATTATATGTTATATTCAAACTTATAGTTGTGAAATTATAAGTCCAGTTTTCCTCACGATGTTTTCCTTCACCGTCTCTCAGTGGTGTCTAAATACTCTCAGAAAGTACATAGGTATGACTGGGAAAAATCACATTGGTACTTGCCATGTTCGAACCCGCGCCCTCATGCATGAGAGGCGCTCCTTTTAACCACTAGGCCACCACTGACTTGTTGTATTTAATGTAAATGATGAACTCACGTGTACATGTATAACCGTCTCCAGAGTATCCCTCCCTACACAGACAGGTATATGAACCAGGCGTGTTACTGCACTCGGCGTGAGGATCACAGCCATGTGTGTCACTCAAACACTCGTCCACCTGGAATAAAGATATTGCCTAATTTTTACTAATTGGTACATTAAAGTGATCCAAATTTGAAATAGCTTCATACACCAGGAAACTAATGTCGCGGATGCCGTGGGCAGAATAGGAATAAATTGGAAATAGCTCTCCAAGCGATATACGTGTATGTAACTTATAGAACGAGGGAACGACGCGACGGTTTAAGAAAGCAGCATAGTATTAAATCGCGAGTATCGCAGAGAGAATGAGAATCGAAAGGTTATAGGCTCGAATCCTGCTTTGATGAATTTATTTCATATGCTCAATTTAGATTTTGAATTAAGTCTCAATATTGCGAGAAGACCATACACCTACACATAATATTGTTATTATATTTGTCTATAGTTTAGTTTACCTCAACGCAATTGAATTTGTCCCTCCTGGTGTATCCCGGAAGACATTGACACACGTACCCTCCTACGACGTTCACACAACGAGTGTTGGAATGACAGTGGTGACCGTACAGACCACCGGCCGATTGACATTCATCTACATCTATATCACGCAAAACAAACACCATTGTAAGGATTATTATTTTAAATTGACTTATTAATTTCTCTACATATAACATACAAGATGAACGCAAAGATTCTTTTCTTTCATCCAAAAGATATTTGAAATAAGTCATTCGAGAGAGTTTGACATGAATTATATGTTACGGATATTTTGAATAAAACATTACCTTCACACGTGATCCCATCTCCTTGGAATCCTTGATTGCACTTACAAGTGTACTTTGTATTAAGATTCATACATGTAGCATTTTCATCGCAAGAATGTCCCATACTGCAGTAGTCCACACCTTTAATGTCAATAAGTAATCATTGTGGATTTCATAATACACTTTATTGTAATTTGTAATTTACTCGTTATTATAACTATCATATGTATAAAAATATGAAGTTTAACATTTTCATTGCCTTTATGAAAATAAAAGGAGCAACTGATCTATATCGTTTAGCTATACAAAATTTCATTTTTATAATAACAAAATTATCATAATATCTATAAATACATAGTATATATGTATAATCTTTTCTCACCAGGGCAGAACTTGCAACACTCTCCGGGTACAGTAAACTGGTCCGGTGCGTCGCAGGGTAGCGGAGGGCAGGCTGTGTCGGGATCGACGCGTGCGCATTGCATGTTACCGTCGTGACAGACGCACTCCGCGCACTCCTTGGGAGCGAATCGCTCGCCGTGTTCATATAGAGTGCCCTTTAGCAGGCACTGTCCTGTTGAGACATATAAAATAGTATTTTAATTTATATCTACTTAATTAATAATAACAACTCTTTTCACTAATATACTTAAACATTTAAAAAAATATATATTTAGTCTGTTTTTAATTGACGATTTCCCCTCTGAAATATGTATGTCGAAATCAATAACTTAACCGCTTACTCAGACACGTGGGACAGCATTCTCCTGGATGTAACACTGGATTTTTACATTCAGCTCTGTCGCATTCTACTGGCCTGCATGTTATTTCACCATGCTGTAACGAATTTAGAATACAATAACTTTATTTCGTTAATTAATAATAAATACGTCTACATGATGATACGTCTACATGTTATTTATTATTAATTATTTTTTTTGTAATTATACCACGCAAGAGCAGCGATTGCAGTCTTTTTGCCACGTTGCACCATCAGCGTGCACTGTTCCATTAGAGTAACACGATTTTTGACAATCACATTGTTCTAAACGCGCCAATCTTGCTTCCGTGCCCACAAGCTAAACAGTAAGATATACTTAGAATTCGTTAAAATTCACTGGAATATATATAATAACGTTATATTATATTTAAAAAAAATAATACCTTTAGTGAAAGGTCATGGATATGTGAAGTTAGTTCCTGTACCGTGGCTTGTAGCAGTGAGAACTGGCCGCAAGTGGGACATTCGGAGTCCAGCCCCGGACACTGCACCAGATAGCCGTGAGGCCCACTCACCAATCTAACATCTTGAAGGGTTCCCTGAATATTTCATTTTACGTTAACCACATTTTATTTTATAACAAAAGACATGTAAACATTTCTTATAATATAAAACACACTAACCTTAAATAAAGAATGCTTGCTATTCCTCTGTCCTACCCACAATGAGAGTTGTGGTTGTGTAAAATTCCGGTCTGGTGGTGGTATTAACCGTCGATACAGCGGGTGACAGTCAACGAGCAGAGTTGCTTGCGCCCCTGAGACAGCAAGTGCCACCCGATGCCACGCGCCGTCCGCGAGTCGAAACGGGAAGGTCTCCACTCGGGCCGTGACGCCTCCTGCCTCCACGTAATGTAGACGCACCTCATCTCGCCGACCACTCGACTGCAACTCCAGATACCTGTAATACAAGGCCCCGACGCAATTGAGTGACAGAACCCGTCGCCGCGTTCTCGGAACCTCCCTCCGAGCGAACAGTTCCGAGGTACACATAAACATTTCAAAGAACATATATACTCGGACGGCAGACGGGAATAGACCGGCCGCGAGCGGACCTCGGCTCGCTCTACATCTCAATATCGCTCGGTCGGGAAGGGGGCCATGTACCTCGGAACGAATCGCGTTCGGTTCTCATATTTTTTTTCTGACAGAGTTTGCCTTAGAAACAGCGCGATCTACAAGATTCATCGTATATAGAAATTCTGGAGGGAGATTCTGTGCCGACCGTCAACCGTCCCGCTGATATATCCAAAAAAAGATTTACAAATATTAAACCCTAATCATTTTAGAATGAATTACTGAATGGCACAATTACTGAATCCCATGTCGCTTGGAATGCAAGTGCGGAGCCCGACGCTGGAGTACTGTCGAGGGCGAGGGCCCGTAGCGATATAGCAACAACAACATCCAGGTACATATTGATAAATAGGTTATAAGGGGACAGTTAGACAGACAAATATAGAACAAAACACGTCAAGACACAGAACACAAGACGGACGACGGCGGGTAAGACACGGAGACATGCAGGTCGACCGCCCCTGAACACATACGGACATGCAGAGCAGTGAGCGCAATAGGTTCACGGATGGATCGAGGAGGGCATTCCGAGGCACAGGACATTCCAAGATACATGATTCTCCCCTATGCGCGCGCACGAATGTCAATATAAAACACATGCGTGCACGCGCAGCGATGTTGAGATCTAGAACTTACCGGTGACAGTGGCCGAATTCCTTAGGCTGATGACTCTCACGGACATCCACAAGCTCGGCGCCGCACGCGGACGCAGCTCATATCGACTTTCTACCATCGTCGAACGGACGACATCGAACCTTTGAGATCTATCGATCATCGATTGAGATAAATCGATTTATAATATTTTCTATAGTATCATAGCGTTCATTTAGCATCTGAAAAATTGGTTATCGTGTAGATATGGAATATAACTAATAGTATACGACCAAGTTTATATTAAGACTCTGTACCTGTTGTATCCGTGTGAGAAGGATAGAATTGTTCCCGAGTTAGCCGGCTCCTGTCGAAGAGCAGCTAGGACTGTGAACTCTGGCGATCGTCGCAGAAGCTCCATGGCGTGGTCGAAGGCCGTTCCTTCCACCTGCAGCGATCGCGAGTCCCCTGAACCACATTAATTGCAATTTTAACAAAGATCTCTCCTATACAACTATACTCGTATAGAGCAAAAGGTATTGCGGTAGTATGAAAAAGTTATATTTACATAGATCCAGTAGTCTAAATATGGATTATGTAATCAAATATTTATTTAGAACGCAATAATTATAGCTATGCAGAGCAATAAATTTCGATATAATCAGTGAGTTCAGAGCTCGCTGCGAGTACGACCTTTTCGTTACGGCTTTAGATTCAGAGAATGATTGGCTCGAAGCCAACATGTAATAGTTAAAAAAGGTTTTGAATCATGGAAATGAAACTTAGTAATAATGTTTATTCATTTATTCTGTTCCTAATATGAACTACTGGGTGTATGACTGTTTATATAAATTAACAGTTTTAATAAATGAGTTCAGGTATACACATATATGTATATGAGCATATACATATATTAGAAGTAAATAGAATGTATATAGTTATGTATATGTTTCTAGAATTTCTTTTTTTTTATTGAAAATGTTATCCACATAATAATGCGTAAGGTTTATTATTAATACTGTTTGCTTTTATTTCAATTGCAATCTGATTATTATACTTTGTGGTTATAAACAACACTTACTTCGCGTTTTCGTGTGAATTTTGCTCTTTTAACCCAAAGGTGGTATTGTAAATATACAAATCTTTTATAGTTGTTCCATAGATGAACCGGTATAAACAGAAATATATAATAACAAAAACAAGAATTGTGCTTATTACTTCTTCGCAATAACCTTTGCTAAAAATAAATAAAAAACAATAATTCAGTTATATACGACTCAAACTGAATCAAAACTCTTTCAATATAATTGACAAAAGTGATTTAACTAAAGTAATAAAGAATATCCAAGTAGCTCGAAAACCGTGGAAGTGCGCAATACAAAGAACTTTAAAGGAGGGTTACTGAATAATGAAATCACACGTGGCAGAGCCATCGTAGCGGGAGGTTAATGGCGTAGAAGGGGAAAAATCAGGGACGAAATAATATTAATTGACATTAAGCTAAGATTGTAGAATGCTAGAATTAGAACTGTCATAATATTTGTTATAAAGCAATCTTAAAATTGTTATGTACTAAGTACTTAACCTCGGAGATAAAGCAATGTAAATCAGTAGTTACTTTAGAATATCCTAATAAAAATGTTTCACCAAGTATTTTTCAAAGAATATAAACTTGGAGGAGCGAATTATATAGCGAAAGTTTGTAGCTGAGAGAGATGACGTTAACTCCGTAGACGGAAGAGTGCATCGACCTCTCACTAGCAGAGGGACATCTTCATGTTTTCAATGATACGAAAAATTTTCACCACGAAATTGATACCGACAAAATTCAAATATTCCTTCACTGGTTTGTAGTTAACTCGTATAGAAAAAAACTTGACTTATACTATTATAAATATTTTTTTATTGAATTTATTTAATATTCTTATAATTACTAAGGCTTTTACAAAAATATTAAGAAAAGTATTGTTATATTCTCTTAAATTTAAAAGCAAAAAAATATTAACGTTTGTAAAAAACCTTATCTAAGTGAGACAAATGTAATGTATTAGTAAATATCATATTTTTATGCGACTGCAAAAAAGGAGGCTCTCATTTTTTGCCAATTTGAAGCATATACATGTATACACAAAAAAACATTCATTTTTTGGATTAAAGTAGTAAACTAGATTTCGATCTAATTTCAATTTATGGTACAATATTTGAAGCTTTAAAGACCGTTACAATATAAATATGAGTAGAATTACTCATAGCATATTAATTTCAGCAAGATATATGAAAATTTCCTTTTCAGATACTTTTTGATTTTCTTTTATTTTGGTCGTGGTATATTTCAGTATTAAAATATGCAAATCATGGTCATGAGACCTTTTATGACGGGAAAACACGCGATGCCTTCGTAAAAACAGCTGTTTAATTGCTATACGATGGTAAGAGGGAAGATAAATAAATCTTTGAGTTATTTTTTGCGTGCTCTGTTAACCCTCACCCCCGGGTATTAAATTCAAATTTCACTTTGCATCAAAATTGAATTCCGTTATCTTTTTTTGGCAGAGTAAATTATTTTTTTAATAAATTAAGCAGCCCACAGTTAAATGATAATTATAAATTATTTTTTCATCCAAGGGCCGAAATATTTGAGGCCGAGGTTACTTTGTCATAAATATTTCAAATGTAGGATTTTTTATTTGTCATGTATTATAAGTTTGTCTTTTTTTTTATGGAAGACCTATCATTACTTATTGATATTTTTACTTAAAATATCATATATATCCGTTACAAATTTTAGCCAAATCTTTTTCCGATATTCAATTATTGAATTAGAAATTATAAGATCGCTACGTGCAGTTTGTTTTTCTAAATAAAACACATATATTTTGAGGACTTTATTATTTGAATAGTCTCTATATAGCATTATATACAAATATTATATTATATATAGTAATATAATACTATGAATAATCCGATCTAAATACAAGTAATTCAGAAAATAACTCCCTTCGTAGCATCCACAATCGTTCAAATCGCAACTTACTTTTATTTAGTGGTGAGAGTGAATGCAATAATCGTTTGTCACAATTCATAAACGACCCCGATGTTTTAGTTTCATTAAATCACCCTTGTCAAATTTATATATATACAAATATTTGCGAAGCATTTCCTAAACATTTTCAATGGCACCCCGCTGTGATTTTATTTATTGTACGTCCTTTGTGATGTGTCCACGCCGTTATAGGGTCCCAAATATATCAAACGCAGTTACACTTCAATAATATTCATTATATTTATATTAATTTATTTTCATTGGGCTATAAATATAATATAAATTTAACTTGAAATATCCAATTGATATTTTTGGAATAAGTAATTTCATTTTATTTTATGTCTTACTATATAATAATTTAATTTGATTAATTAGAATAATATTTTTAACACAAACTTTGCGGTAGCATTATGTCGGATCATTAAGCAAAATCACTTCAGTTCAGTGATGTAGCCGAGCCACGTTGACCGATGGCTTCTGACGTGTTGAACGAACCGAGAAAGCGTTAACGTCATAGTGGCTAAACTAATATGTTGTTATGTCTTATTACAATGAATATTTCACACTGTAAATAATACTTGTTCACAAAAAAAGATATTTTTGTAAACTTGATCATTCCTATTTCGATAATAGATTTACTTTTAATTCGTTGCAATTTATTGTTTAGAAATTCAATATATTCCAAACCAATATGTATCTAAAGAAGTATAAATATAATTTATGGTTTAGCCGTCTCGTGCCATGCGCCTGTCACAACAATAGATGCATTCAGTTGTCTTTGACACTCGCAAAACAACATTTATCGCATGTCTGAATCCGATTGTCAATGACAGTTTTTACCACAAAATAAAATCAATTAATAATAATACGTCATTGTAATGAAACGTCGAGAATATTTGTTTTGAATTCCATTAACTTTTTACAGTAAAATGACGTTTTTCTTCTTTTGTAATAGAAATTGGTTTTAAATGAAAGGAACCAAACATATTTTATATGTAATCAAATTCTGCGGTTCTGCTGTAGAAAAAGTAGATCAGTATTTTAATTTAAAATATCTATTTGTTATCTGAAAACTAAATACAAGGTATGGACCAGATTGTGTGATTGGACCAGATGTCACAGTCAACCTGTCTTCACACCACGACAATAGGAGCTTAGCGTTTAACACTAGGGGCATACAACCCACGTTAGAAATTAGGGCGAATACCCTCCTACAATCAGTAGAGATTACACATCTCAGCTAATGGCACGTTGACGTTTGAGGTGAGCTAGGGCTCGTTACTTTTATATATTAATACAATTTACAGTTATCAATATTAATTTTTATCTGTTTTGCATTATTGAATTAATTTGTAAAAATTAAATGAATACGCAAAAATATTTTATATACTTTATACAAAAATACTGTACATAAAAAAGATTACTTTATCGCAAAAACAATTAATATCCGAAATTCGTATATCTATATATAGATATATTCATAGATGAAAATATAATGTAAAAATAAATTAAATGTGATCGTGAACCCTCACTAAATGTAACAGATTTTCGTCCCTTAAAGCGGTTTAATCACTGATTGCGGCGATTACGACACGGCAAGGGATGGCTCATGGCATATTTGCCGGTCGGATTACAACGACTTTATTGGTAATGGGACTGTTTCAATATATGGTCTGGTAGATTGCAATTAGATGTCCTCGTCGAAATCATACTAGATATTGAAAATATATCTTATTTGGAATAGGGAATTGAATATTTTTTGCCAAAATGTATTTACTTTATGGTATAATTTAAAGCTGATGGAAATTGTTTAAAGAAAAGTATATTTCAAGTCAGTGGTTGCATGCATTTTATTAATAGCTAAAAAAATAACTGTCATGCTGTCAAAACGTCAGGAATATTGAATGTGAATGCGGTATATTCAGTAGAATGCTTTTGTTCAATCAATTTCCTTACATCTTTGATATTCTTTATAAATAAAGTAAGGGAACTCCCTCTCTTGACATGTCAGGAAGATAAAAAAAAAAACATAATTTGAACAAAAGAAACATGAATATATATATTGCAATATAAAAGTAAAGAAACATATTCTTATATGTACAGATTTGTATGATATATTTGAGTAATGATAAGAATAAGAGATGCCAACAGAATAATTTATTAAATACATTGAATAATAGAATATATGGACAAGGTATTAATTTTCTTTATTGATTACGAATTTCTCAAAATTTCTTTTACCGTACAGGCTATCCAACTGTGGAATGCTTTACCCATTAACATTATGCAAGCGCAAACACTATTGTCTCTTAAGAGGTTGGTAAAAGAGCACTATCTATCTGGCTATGGAATCTTAGTCACTATATTATGTTCTTGTATAGTATTTGTTTTAATTGTTAATTTTATTTTATTTTTATTTATTTCTTTTTACTTACTATGATTTATTTAACTTTTGTGTCTACATAATTAACGTAAATATTTGAGACGACATATATTATTATATTCATTTATATTTATATCTATAATTGTTCATTTATATTTATTAGTATATATATTTATGTATATATGTATGTATTGTATGTATCTATTTATATATGTAATAGTGTATATTTAAGGATAGGGCACCATCTACCTTTTCGCTGCACAATTTCCCCAAATCGAAGGTTGTCTGGCAGAAATCGCTACTTAGCGATAAGACCGCCTTTTTGTACATTTCAATTTATTATTTTTGTTTTCTTGTAAAATTTACTGTTTGTGGTGTACAATAAAGTATATTCTATCTATCTATCTAGTTTAAAAGGCTTTTATTAACTTATGTTGTTGTAAATCTTTGAGGTTAATTTTTACCGTTTTCTAAAAGTCTGAATAATTTGAAATTTTGCATACGTAACAGAACCGATGACAATGCAATAATTTGATAACAGTTTCCTTATTAGGACCGCCAGGATTACATAATGAATTCTTTTAGAGATCCTCTGTAGTGGAGTGAGAGAGATAGAGATATTTAGCTAGATACCTAGGCTTACTCTTTCGCTTTTATAATTTATAGAACTAAAAAAATTAAAATAAACAATAGTTAAAAAAACTCGCTTATATAGCTAACCGAATTAAAAAATAGTAAATAATTTTCAATTATAAAGAAATTATTTTAATTCAGAGTAAAAAGCGTGGGGTGCATTTGAATATATTTCATATCTTTCCTCTTATAATCATTCTTGTGCCAACTATGCATACATAACATTCAATATAGAGAATAACACTTTTTTTCTGAATTAAAATAAATCTTTTGTAATTAACACTTGTTTTCTATTTTTAGTTAGATTAGTTGTAAAAGCGTGGTTTTTTGTTTTTTTTTTTTTTAATTTATCTTTAACTTATTATTAGTCAGTGGTGTTCTAGTGGTTAAAGCGCCCGCCTCTCGTTGCCGAGGGCGCGGGTTCAAACCTGGCAAGTACCAATGTGATTTTTCGGAGTCATATGTACTTTCTGAGAGTATTTAGACACCACTGACATACGGTGAAGGAAAACATCGTGAGGAAACCTGGACTTATAGTTTCACAATTATAAGTTTAAATCACCAACCCGTCTTGAGCAAGCGTGGTGATTAATGCTCAAATCTTCTCCATGTGAGAAAGAGGCCTCTGCTCAGCAGTGGGCTCTGATAGGCTGATGACGTTTAACTTATTATACCAAATTGTCACAAGAAACTGTGTTTTTGAAATATTTTCATTAGACTGATTCTAAAATTGTACAAAAGTTAATATTAAATATGAGTTAAGGATGATAACTTATTGTTTATACGGAAAGAACGAGGAAGAAAATTCGTAGTTAAAGGTAAATAAATAAACATATTAAAAAATACCTTCTACAACAAAATCCTTATATAGAAGACTATTGCTATTGAAATTATTGTTGCCGAGGTTTTGTAAACAAATTGATAACAGATTTTAAATATTAAATCTGTCAAAATGCCTAAAATTGTTTTCCTTCTCCTTGGAAGTATAATCTTTCCATCCCATAAAAAATCTTCTTAAGTTACATATTTTAAGAAGTTACTAAAATATGTTATCCATAGTATTTGAGAATTTTAATTAACGATTTCAGGCTCGCATTGTAACTATTGTGATTAAAATTAGTAATGGTGTTTATACTTGTTAGTGAAAAATCTCAACTGCCACGAAACATGCAACGTTATAAGAATAATTAATTTTAAATTAAATAAAAGAAAGGTAAAAAGCCAATATTTAATATTTTTTCTATGGTTTTGTATATTCTTTCTATTTTAATATAAACTCAATATTACTTCAAAGTACAAATATATTATATAAAACCTCTTCTTAAACTTAAATTTAGTCCATACCTTTGACTAATTTTTAACAAAACAAAACAGCTGATTAATGTTATAGAGTGAGTATAACCATAAATATTATCTCAGATTCATAAGAAGTTTAGAATCAAACATTTAAAACCCTTACTAATTGTAGATAAATAGGTCTCAAAAAAAAAAGAAAACTCATATTCAACCTCAAATATTTACGCGAGCAATAACTAATAAAAAAAAAACAGAAAAAAGGCAATCGTGTTGAAATACGTCATAGAATAACACAAGTGACTGATTACTAAGTCTAGTTACTTCATTACAAAGTCATTAAAGGTGAGGGAGGCGTGCCACCGTCCATTAGACTGTTGATACAAACGATACTGCATTTAAAATGTATCGTGCCTCGCTCGTACTATGTGCACTTTGTTGCATAACAATCGTCTATTATGTGATTGAATTTCACTAACACTTAATGCTTTTATAGAATTGCCAGTAAAGCTTGTGCTTCTACCTAAATTACAGGAGATTTTTAATTTGTAAGAAGATTTTGAAATACTACAAGTAATTTCAACAAAACCCTGTTAGTACTTTGTTCAAAATACGAGAAAAATAGATTTGATTATCATAGAAATTTAACTTCTTCTGTACATACTTAACATAATAATTTTAATAATATTATGTTTTTTAATTTTATAACAAGCGAAGAAGATTCTTATTTTAATGTTAAGGTAAATTTTCACAGTGATAACAATAAAAATAACAATTTTTATATGAACTATCAACTAACCGTCAAGGGAGTACGCGGTCCGCTGAGGCTGCATGCCAGGAGCAGCGCTGACTCCGGTCCGCGTTGTGTTGTGCAGCGACAGCGCAGCCAACAAGTCTAGCTCGGTGGCTGGAACAATATGATACATTCAATAAATATACATTACATCAACACTGTACTCTAGAAGGCAGAATCACGAAACAAACACACACACATACATATATATGTGTGTGTATAATATGCATATATGTATATTATTTCTCTTCCCCAGTTTCATTTATAATATACGTAATATATTTATAATCGAATTAATTCAACTGTACTTAAGCTTTCCGTAATCATGATATAATTAATAACACGTTAAATATTTAATACTATACATCATTTATAGTAAAACATAATAATTATGTTGCTATATGATACGATATCGTTACTCCACTTTCATTTTCCTCAATAAACTGTTATTTGTACATAACGTCCTAGTTCGACTTAATCCATACATTTGGAGAGTGAAATATTAGAGACATCGAGTATCGATCTATCGTAACGGTAAATATTAGGTTTAACTGTGTTCGACCTTGGAGTACATTGAGCCTATTACTTTGTAGGTCGACTCTATAGAGTTACTAGTTACTATACTATAGTGTACAATACGACTGTATCATTACATCACGTAATAACTATAATTACCGATGTATTATTACCGTTAAAATAAAAATAAACCACAGTTTTCTTATTACGTAGCGATACATCGTAGCCGCGTAGACTGGTAGAAGCTACGAACAATTTAGAAGTTAAATTTGTTGTTCTACAATATTCGTATATTTATTTAAACCAAGTTTTGTTATATATTTAAGAAAAGTCTTCTTATACCTCTACATAATAAATGTCTTATATTATTTTTCTTTTTCATTTATGTTATGCTGTTTGACTTAAATTAAAAAAAAAATTGGTTTCTTTCTTATTCGTATTTTACTAATATTCTGTTTCAGGCAATAGAAAATTAAATGAATACTTCATCACTATAAAATACAAAAATATCAATAGGTATTTATACATTAATTAATATTTAAATATTTTAGCACATATAAAAAGTATTCAGTGGAATGTAGAACATGACTTTTCTGAATTGGTTAAAAATACCAACCAATGTAACGTTCAGAACTAAATTGGAGTAGCGTAATACTGACTTCAATTATAAAGCATCTGTTATGTCGAGATCTCTTGTCGCCAGTCGACCCTAATTCTTGACGCTTCCAACAAAAGATTTAAGGGTCATCGTTTACAACAAACAGACGCTAGTTTTTCCTAAATTTTAATAAACTGATCTACACTTTTAAAAGACTTTCCAAAATATTTTAAAATATATTGTTTTAAATATATTTCGATTAGAAAATCACAACTTAATATGTACGTAAACACGTGTATACGGATATGATCCACTTTATCTGCATTTTTATTAATGTAACAGCTTATAGTGAAGTAGTTAAATTAGTTACAATAGATAGAGAGAAAGTTTTTATGTGATGATGATCTAATTTATAGAATGGTTTATGTGAGTGTCAACCCTGGCGAGGCGCCTCGTCGCCGCCGTGTCTGTCTCCGGGCGCTGTGTGTCGTATAGCCTCGTAAACTAGCTCCCAGCTCGATTGTCTAGCCTAGCTTTAACATATATTAAGTACTGAAAAAAAATAAACCAAACTCCGCTACAAATGAACGCCCTATTTTCACTTTTAATGTATTGTCCGCGAACTGAAAGTCTTGTTCAAAGCGAGATGATGTGTTTGTAACATATTTTGTGATCTATATTTCTTTAGAATCTATTTTCTCTTTGTATTCAACTATATGCTCTTTTTAAAACATTTCAAATATATTCCAATATATTTTTTCTATTAAACCTAAAGTAATGATATTGCTTCGTAAAGACTATAAAAGATTCCACCGTAAATGGTTCTATTGTAAATGAAAAATCCTTTTAAAGTACATACTGAAAATACTATCCAATTAATTCACCTTAAAGCTTCGGTCTTATCTGTGAGTCATGAATTTGAAAGCCTTAACAGATTTTATGGGGCATGTTACAACGCAATATACTTAAGTATTATGTTGCAATTGTGCAGTTCCAGACGGATTCAGTACAATGTTATAAAATAGACATTCGTATACATTTTGTACTTATAGTTAAATAAGTTTAATGGCTGTTGGGACACTCAATGCTTGAGAAAGCTGAATTTTATATTTTTTTGCAAGAGTAATCTTCGTCTTGAGAGAGATTTCCATCATAGAAAAACTGGAGTATGTTTCTTGCTAGAGAATAACTTATTTCCAAGTGAACAAAATTATAAGAGTAATATTCTTACCGATATAAAGCTTATAAAATTCAAAACAATGTATATTTTTTATAAGTAATATATGTCCATAAACAAGTATGAGTGTGATAATTAAAACAGTGCTTGCCATTTTAAGCAGCAATTAATTTATAACCATCCATTTCATTACACTTTACCCCAAAAATGATATTATAACTATCAAAGTGTATTTTAATTAATATGCGAAGCAATTTATCACACAAATTGTCTACGGCCGTAATTACAGACTATTACGGTTTTCATGTGAGCGGTTCGAGGAGCCGGAACAATTTCAGTTATTCACTGTTAATTCCTCAAATTAATTACCCATTCGAGTGTAGTTGAAAGCCTCTAGAATTTAGGTTGTGGATAACTCGTCTATCATTTCGCTAATGATCCCTGAATTAAAGAAACATTTCCTTTAGTTATTTTTTATAAACTGTAACTTTAGTAAAACTAAAGTTAATTATTCAAACGTCAATGCACTGAAGTGTAATGAGCTAAGCTTCGTTAAGCCTTTTTCATGAATATAAAGAAGACCCTCGTCCTATAGACCTTTTGTTACAAAATAATAAAACTCTAAGTCTCCTTTTAGCAAAATATATGCTTTAATAATAGTAACGTACTAATATGCTATAAATAATATAAACAATCATATAATTTTTATCACACAATGAAAAATATTTATAACATAGCTCATATATTTTACTTATTAGTAAAAGGGCCATGACCTTTCTAAATACCAAAATATTAGACGTGCTACAAAAATTTGTATCCAACTCACGCAAGCATTCTTTATACATATAACTATTCTTACTGTCTATGAAAATCGTAGGTCATGTAAAAAAAATCTTTGATTAAAATATGCTATATTTAACATCAGTAAATTCTGAAGAATATCTATAACATTCAATATTTTCTCATAAGTAATTCAAATAAAATTATGCACATGTGATCCCATCTGCGGCTGCAATAAATATTCCCCTTAAGGGGAAAGCGAGAAAAGTAATATACCAGACCACCTTTAGTATTATGCTTACACGAAAATGCTTTATAAGAGTCTATTGTTTAAGATGCGATTTATTCGTACAACAGAGGGTGCTGGAAATACCTATCATTCAGAGTTATAAAATCGATTGGAAAACCTCTTACGTAACGTAAGACTGTGGATCTGATCAAAAGATACAGACTTTTGTTACTTTTAATAAGTAAATAATTAATTATCTTCATTAACACAATCGTATCTGATTTAATTGAGCCTTTAAAATTTCAAAGGGAACGCAAAATAATTAATTTAATTTGCATGACAAGGTATTGCAATCCGATGCCCTGTGTAATGAACAGCCCTTTACACACGAGCGGACTGGACACAAGGGTTAATATCAATTAATTGAAGTCCTTTTGGAACTCGAGACGGCACGCGTATGAAACCTGTCGATGAACCCAATTTAACATATGCTGGTCATTTGATAATGAATACCAAAAGCCCATTGAGACTCAAACATTTTTTAAATTCATTGACGTCCACGGTAAAGCTCTTGGTATCCGGTTACTAATAAAAATAAGAATTCATTCAATACGCTCCCGACAATGTAGAACTAATAATGAGTAAATTATGACGCAATATCAAACTGGATTGACCGAATTATAATAACTTAAGAAACACCGTTAGCCAGTTCCCCTCCCGACACTGATACTTTACAATTCTAAAACATTTGCTCATACAAACCACGCTTATAAAAGCCCCCTATCCGTTGTTCGAAAGGCGAGAAAAAGTGCCTAATCGGCGAAAGCGGGGTTAATTTACCTTTTATACTACCATATTTGAAAAATATTTTTAATGCTTCAATATGTACATTATATTTTATTAATTATTTTTAAAGTACAAAACAGCTATAATAACATACACCTAATAAAATATTCTGTTACGAAAACAGAGACAGAAAATTAGGTATATATACTTCGTCATAAGTATATACGTTGTATACTTCAATATATAATTTTATGTTGATATTAACAAGAGATTTTAATTTAAATTATATCATGCTTTGCCTTGAATAAAAGGAATGTGACGTAGGGCCTTATGTTATAACTAATTGTAAAGACCTATCAGAGGGGTCGCTCGTGGCATATGTCACGGCGCGCCGCTAGCCTGCCCTCCTGACGTGTCGTACCACAATATTACAATTTTTTATTTAAACGACTTCTAGAAGTCAACATAACTGCCTTTATACGTTACATTTTTAATACGTCAAAATAAGCAGTTAGCTATACACATTATTTTTCTTGAATTTCTAAGTCAATTTATGTATATACATATACACATAAATATATCCTTGAGAAGGATAGAAAGTTCATCTGGATTATATACAAAATAAATGACAACAAAATAATACCATCGATAACAACACAGCCAGCATAATACACATTTATAAACAATTACACATTTTAAACCAAATACCGAGAAAAAAATCGAAAGACAAATGTAATATTTAGTTCACGGAACATAATAGTGTCGTATGACGATCACGCGATGTTACGAAATAAGCGAGCATCTCATTTATTTAACGGGGAGGTGAGTCACAGGTATCGAGGCGTTTTGATGACGGTTTAATAAAAATTATCGTCGATAATACAATTAAATACGTCACAAACGTTTATAGAGGACACACAGATATCATAAACACCATTGTCTGCGAGTAATAATATTTATATCTTGATAGGAACGGTTGGTTTAAATAAAATATTTAGAAAAGTCTATTGATGTGAATAATTTTGTTC